TTATGTTTCAGCCTTCTGCGCGATATTTCATATATCTATCCGCGTATGTAAGATATCGCATTTTTAATTTTACAGAAAATAGTTTTACAAATCGATATTTTACAATTAAATATTTAGATAAGTGACATTCAATAATGCACGTAGGGATCAAGTGCTCCGATTAGATACTGACTGAATTTATCAGATTAAGATAAACGATACGCGTGAAATATTTCAAAGGAAATATCTGTCTGGCATCGAAAATTACAGTTGAGCAATGCATGTAATACTTAAACAAACATCATAAAAAATTCAAAGAAATGTTCTATTGACATGTGTCCTCTATGCAATTATTTTATTATGCGCATAAAATTTAAAGACACATGGAGAGAATTTTTTTTAGAGTTTTATTAATATTAATATGTACATAGTCAAATTAATCGAACGTACTTTATATCTCATTGCAGATATTAATATTTCTTATTTGTGGTAAAAAAATATTAGAGTCATCGGAGGAGAAACTTTTATAAAATTCCTCCAATACCACATTATCTCACGATTTTCCAGAATTAAATTCTGAGAGAAAATTCTCTCTTTGTGACACTTGATAAATAACTGCCATTTGTTTCGCGTATCGATACCAAGAAAAATTAGTTCACAAACGTATCCTTAAAATACAAATTTTCTCATTCTCCGGTTTTGCGTACAAGCCACGTTCCTTCCTCGGATTTCGTATTTATCGTTTTCCCGCCTCTTACTTCCGGCTCTGATTATAAACCAGATCGTTCGCGTCCGCGAGAAGCAATTTCGGTTCCCGAGAAATTCGCCGAAGGGAAAGAAATCTAAATGGCGAAAACGCGTGGCACGGCCCTGAAGATCGAGTGTGACTAAGCCGGGGCCGCCTACGTGCGTGATGCGATGTGTGCACGCGTGTTCTCCCTCCGTCCTTCTTCTCGCGAGGATAGAGAGGGACTCTCTATCGGAGCCGTCACGGAAAAGTACCGGTCACATGTCTACCCGGTGGCACTCCATCTCCTCTCTGGCGCGGCCCGTCCGCTCCCTGTCGTGTACCGTAGGCGAGGCTCCTCGGTGACTCGATCCGCGCGCCGGCTTGTGACGTGAGAGAAGGAACGGAGCGCGTAATCCGTACGCGCGGGATTGCGTGTCACCGCGAACAGCCGTGACCGAATCATGATGATTCTTCCCGCTCGTGCGCGCCCAATAAGTTGGATCTTCTTATTCGTACTTGTACGAGGCATTATTCTTCTTGCCTCTTATTAACCCGTCGGCTTGGAAATTCATTTCATTATTTTCGTTCTAAATTTTAAATTTAATTAAACATTTATTATATATATATATAATAAAAAATTATTATATATATATTTCATTCAAATTCATTATAAATATAATAATAAAATTTATGTTATAATATATATATATATAATAAAAATTTATATTATATATATATTTCATTCAAATTCATTATAAATATAATAATAAAATTCATGTTATAAGTAAATTAAATAAATAAATTTGTTTAACGCTCTGGGACAGGTCCCCGCATAAGCTCAGCGACTACGCATAAAATGATATAATATATAGTAACGATAAATAAATGTGCATATATGGTACAAGTGTAAACGAAAGAAAAGCATATATAGATATGTAAATGTGTGTGAATGCATAGTTATGAACAAAAGAGAGAGAGAGAGAGGTGCTTCGATACGATATCGAAGCTTCGCCTTCGTGTTGATATATTAGAGGCCTGCGTGAGTATTTTAGCTCCGCGGTTAAAAATAGCATCTCGCGCGGACGGGGATATGACGTTTTGCATTTCTATACAAAACACACAGGCGAGAGGAGCCGGAGAAAAATAAATTGTTATCGTATACGTGTATGTATAACGGGGAATCTCCGATCGTAAATTATTATATCGACGCGATCGTGAATATTCATGACGCAATTAGCGAATTTTGTTGCAACGCCAATCTTGTTTACATAGAACATATTTATCCGCGTGATCTTTATACATATTTTGTATTATGATTATTTTCGTTTATGTAGATATTGACATTCCGTTTGCGCTTATAAATATTGAAATAATATATAACGATTCATATTGGGGTATATCTCGTTCTATATTTACGTCTGCATTTGATTACATTAATCTTTTAGAATTCTCAGTATAAATATTATTTAATATATTATTTCCACGTATAAAACACATTTCAGGGTTAAATGCGGGCGCGTTTTAGAAATAACAAAATCAAGCCTTGAAAAGAAAATCTCGTTGATATTTGCTCGCAACATCAAGCCTTGAAAAGAAAAATCTCGTTGATATTTGCTCGCAACATCTACATAAAAAAATTCAATATTGAGTAGTCACGCAATTAAATATTATTTAATATATTATTTCCACGCGTAAAACACATTTGAGGGTTAAATGCGGGCGCGTTTCAGAAATAACAAAATCAAGCCTTGAAAAGAAAAATTTGATATCGAGCAGTCACGCAATTAAATATTATTTAATATATTATTTCCACACATAAAACACATTTGAGGGTTAAATGCGGGCGCGTTTCAGAAATAACAAAATCAAGCCTTGAAAAGAAAAATCTCGTTGATATTTGCTCGCAACATCTACATATATTAAAGAAAAATTCGATATCGAGCAGTCACGCAATTAAATATTATTTAATATATTATTTCTACACATAAAACACATTTCAGGGTTAAATGCGAGCGCTTTTCAGAAATAATAGAATCAAGCCCCTTGAAAAGAAAATTCTCGTTGATATTTGCTCGCAACATCTACATATATTTAAAAAAATTCGATATCGAGCAATCACACAATTAAATATTAAACGCAGAATCCGCGGGCGGAAAATCAAATGGAAATTTGAAGTCCGAAGGCGAAAAACTCAAGTCAGACTTTACAAAAGGGCGTCGCGCCAAATGCGCGTAATTGAAATAAGTGTATACGTACATATGTATTCCGCTCGATCGTGACGAATCGCGATTAGAGGGAAATGGCGCGAGTGCAGCGAGACGTTAATAATAAACGATTCGAGCGCGCGATGGGGAATAATGGCGCAAAAAAGGAGATGATGATTGTCGGGCTTGTTAAACGCATTATTGCATCGCGCCATTTTCTCGGAATCGGTTCTCTTTATTTCTTGAGTCACCGGCAATTTTTTTTTTTTTTTTTTAATAAAGGAACATTATTAACCTTGACTTGATCCCTGGAGTCTGGACAGTGTTCTAATTTCTAGTTCGAAATAAAATGGCGTGCATAGGGAGCACAGAAAACCGAACAGTAATGAAAATTTGATTATTTTTTGGTGGACAACATTTTGGATTTATATAAATAATTTTTATATAATATATAAAATTAATAATACATAAAAAATGATACAATTACACCGTTCTTGTGCTCACTCTTCTAGCAACTTTAGATAGAAAGGAGGCAAATTTCTCGCTCCTTTATCGATCGAAGTTGTCGAATGACTTTCTTGTGAAAAGAAGCGTATAAAGAAAATATCCTTGCTGATGGAGATTGTGCATGCGAGATAATGCAGTGTCTGAATGATACATAAAACATCGGGTAAACGATCGGCGCGTGTCGAAGGCCAATGACGATACAACGCAATACGGTAACGTGGCCGTGTCGTGATGATATATCTACGTGTCATCGTCGCAGTCATCCACGCGACATGCGTGTTAATTGTCTTGGCCGTTCCTCGAGTGACTCGTCAAGTAAACATTATCAAAATGCACCGCGATCCTGCGCGAATATGACTCCGACTTCCCGATATACATATGTGCATAACGATAAGCAAAGTTACGACATCGACCACGAGCGTGATGTAGGGATTAGTACCAATTAAGTATTTACACATTCTTATACATATGGAATATTCTCTTAGAATTTACCCTGAAAATCGCGGTAATCGTGAAACAGAATGTTGCAAGAATTTTATAAGAATTTCTCTGATTAATATTTACCACAATAAGACACAAAATATGTTCAATTAATTTTGTATAGTAAAATTTATTATGACTATTAATATTTTTTAATCACTGAGCAACTCTTATAAAATTCTTCCAATATTATACATTGTCACACGAAAAAAAGATTAATAATTTTGCCAACATTTATTTATGCACCTTCGCATCGAATCTCTATTTAATTCTTGAATCGATAAAATAAAATGTAAGAAAAAAATATTTTCAGAGACGAATGTCTACAGAAGAGGTAAAAGTTGAAATGTACGTTCGATCTCGTAAAAATTGGGAAATCTTTAATCTCCGCCAAATTCCTTTCGTCCAATTCTACAATTCCGTGTAGATTCTACAGTTCGATTCAAGGTCTCTCTAGAGCGCGAGTTAGAGAAGTAACGCGGCTTGTTATTGACGTAACCGATTCACTTATACATTCTCGCCTCCTTGCGTTCCCTGTAATCGTCTCGTTACCATTTATCGACGTCGCGTCGCAGAGAGAAAGAAAAACGCCATTTATTTCTGCTCTGCCAAGTGAAGTCATTGTGCTATAAAGACGGATTAAAATTATAGGAAGGGAGAGGCAGGAGAGGCATTCCACGGAGATTACACATGGCAAAGAAATGGAAACGAGCAAGGACAAACTCTGAACTCTCGATAAATGGCATTCGCTTCCCATGTCACGCCACGTTATCGATCACGCACGAACCGCTTCTCTCGTTCTCTCTCTCTTCGAGATAGCTTCTAATAATATTTACTCACGTGTCATTCATTTTTTTCTCTCCTCGATAAGTATAGTATTAGCGCCCGCAGAAGATTGTATTAAAAATTCGAGCGTCGCAAAATCATTCTCTACGCATGCTCATTAAAAACCACTTCAGTAATTACCTCATAATTCCTCTGAATTCCTGACTTTGTTCACTCGAAAAAGAAAATTCGCTCCATTTTCTATCGCATACACACAAGCACCGATACGCTCGGATGAAAAAAAGAAACGTGTACTGAACGATATATATTTTCAGGGTCGTATGTCGGACCGTCCATACCGCTGGCACCGGCCAACGTCGCGGCCAACGGTGGAGGATCGCCTCTGCGTCCGAGAACGAGTCCTCCACCGCCGCCGCCGCCGACGCAGGAAAGTGCCAACGATAATTCGCAGACGAATCATCATCAGGTACGTGGCGATAAAGCGACGCTGCAATTATCACCCGGTCGATCCATTCAGGACGGACGTACTTATGTATATTCGTACTCTTGCATTTAACGAATGCCTTAGGCGAGCTTAATTGGCTTGAAAATCTGACGACACTTGCTCTTTTAGAGCTCAGCGAACGGACCGTCACCGATGGCCGCCCTAATGTCGGTCGCTGACAATCTGACCTCGCCGGAACCTGTGCCGCAGCCGCCGAACAACCCAAGTCCCACCAACAGAAGTCCGCCGACAGCCACAACCCCTCAACAAGCACGCAGCGCTTCTAGGGGCTCTCAGCACAGCCCGAACAGTTCAGACAGTTATGGTAATATATATATATTGTCCGGCTTTTGTGTCTTATCTTGCGATAGAAGCAATATTATCCGCGTCTTTGTAGATTACAAACCCACGTCTTATCGGCTATAGTGTCAATTAATATCGTTAAGGGTTTTGGAAAAAAAATGTTTAACGCGTTTAAAATGAAGCTTCTAACGAAAGGCTAGAGCATAAAGAACGACAACCGCGTTAATCTGCAGGCTCCACAGGCAGACGGCCCAGTAGTTCAAGGCAGGTGTCCTCGACAACCGTGACGACATCATCCGAGGGCGCGGTTGCTCAAGCTGCCGGCGCTGAACCGGTCTCGGCACCGACTCTCAAGTGTACGCTATGCCAGGAACGTCTAGAGGACACGCACTTTGTTCAATGTCCCAGCGTGCCGCATCACAAGTTTTGCTTCCCGTGCAGTCGGGACAGCATAAAGAGACAGGGTGCTGGATCCGAGGTAAGTTCTTCGGTGCTTGTTACCGCTTCTTTGGACGCTGATCGCGTATACGTCACGATGGCTCATCGACGGTTTCCGTTCTTGATCGTTTCAGGTTTATTGTCCGAGTGGCGAGAAATGCCCGCTGGCGAACAGCCAAGTACCGTGGGCCTTCATGCAGGGCGAGATAGCCACCATTTTGGGCGAGGATACCGCGGGTACCGGGCTCAAGGTCAAGAAGGAGAGAGAAACTTAAAGACCCTCTTTCAATGTCGATTCAGGGCTCAAATTTTATGTCCCCCTGTATACCAGAGGGGCTGTTATGGTTGGAACCATGAAGGGTTTCGCCAAACGCTTTTGGTAACGGTGATAAAGAGTCGTTGGCGATAAGCGGAGAGAGCCAACGAACGACTCGAGCCAAAGACGTTGTCTGGTGCAGATTCTCATGAAGTTGTTAATGTCATCCGTTAGAGCTGGGTGGGAGGGGGGGGGGAAGTGGACGATTCGATTTTGTTTGAAGTCGGCTAAACGAACTCGACGTATCTTAACGATGCGAACGAGTACCGAGCGATATTTATCGATTGGTTTTGAGAAGAAGTCTTTGGCAAATTGCATGCTGGCGATCGATTGTTCTGCTGCACATGTACATATGGATTTCGTAGAGAGCGGTTAATTAAACGCCACGGATGCAGCGTATTATTTTTCGCGACTTTCGAACGAGAGGAGCTTCAAAATGTGATTCGAAATCGCGACGGTGGTGACGATGATGATAATGATGATGATGATGATGATTTGTTGCCCGGTTTGGGTTTGTACTTATAGGCTCGAATACGCCTTTCTTCATTGTCTCTTGTAATCGCGGACGTAATCGCACGCGTTCTTTCACACAATACACGTACACATGCATACAGACATGTGTATGCATATTGCATAAATATGCATACATACAGACACAACACACGCACACAGACAAAATCGACGATTTGGTACCGCACGCGCGGTTCGCATTGTACTTTTTTTTTTTTTTTTTTTTTTTTTTTTCGCGCGTGTCCGTTCAGGATGATCGTGATTTTAATTAATGACTAACGCGAGAGGTAGCATCGCCTTCGCGGCGATCGCCGTCCTTTTTCTATTCTTTTGTTTGTATACTCTTTCTACCCTATACTTCGCGCTCGTGTTGTATTATATAATAAAATATATTATGACGGACAATTCTCGGACCCAGCGCACGGGTTTTCTGTACATTATGTATATGTGTACATACCTACATTATATTAAATAAAGCGTATAACTAAAAAGAAAAAAAATTTTTAACGATTTTTAAGTGTACAAAAGTCTCTATGTATTCGTTTTTGCGTTTCTCTCTCTCTCTCTCTCTCTCTCTCTCTATTTCTCTCTGTGTCTTATTAAATTATTATTATCCTTTTCACTTCTCTCTTTCTCCGCGTCTCTCTTCTTTTCGCTCTTTTCCTTCTCTTTGTTCTCGCGAACGAAGTTGTACGCTGTCATTTCTCCGAAAGACTTACTTTTTTTTTTTCTGTGCGTAGAGACACGCGACGCGTTTCCCTTTCTCTATTTTTCGGTTTCCCGCTCGCGAGGGTACGCGACGTTGCGTTTTTTATTCGCGTTCTTCACAATAATCGCGCTCGTCCGGTCTTTCGGGGGGGGGGGGGGGGGGGGGGAGAAATAAGTAAAATAAAAAAAAAGTAGAAAAGAGTCACGCGAGACACGTGAGCACACATCGCGTCATCCAGAGTCACTCGTATAAAAGCGGATTATATAATATAATAATGTTCGACTGTGCAACGCGTCCACTTTCGCCTTTAGTTTATGCGCTAGACCTTAAGTCGAGGGCATTTTGGTTTTTCATTTTCACCGATGAAAAAGGCACGCCCGTCAAAATAGGAACCACATACTCGCTATGTCTAAAAAATAAAAAAAAAAAAGTGAAGGGAGAAAAAGGCAGGCAGGCAGGCAGAGACACTCGCTGAACGCGCCCGACTGGGATTTTTTCTCTTTCGAGCGAGATCGTCTCGCGCGAAAAAGAGAGACCCGGGCGTTGTATCCTTTTGTATATATTTGTACAAAAACAGATCGGCACACGGTGAAGTCGGAGGAAGGGAGTTCGGTTGTCGGGAAGTTGTCGCGGGGGAAAAGTAGAAAATAAAAAGAGACACATACATATATACACAAAAACACACACAACTGTCGCGCCTCGTTGCGTTACGGATGATTCGAGATACCGCTTTCTCGATTTATAGGGCGATGGGTGACGTCTCGCGCGACAGAGCGACATCCGCTTTTAAAAGCGCGTACGAGACTTGGGTAACGTTATCGTTCATGGGCGTCCGCAAGATTTTTTCCAGGGAGGGGCATAATTACATTTTTGTTCTTAATTTGTTTAAATTTTATTTTTTTTTTGGCAAAATTGATTTTGACGTAACTAGCAATTTTATTCGATACTTTCGCGAAGTTTCGATCATTTGGTTGTGGTCCTTATCAAGTGAGAATTTCATCAATTAAAATGAGATTAACGCGACATAAAACCGATCTTATTTAAAATTAATAGTTAAAAGAGGAACACGTCCCATCGCTATGATGTTTCGTCGTTGACGAAATCAATTTAAGATCGGTTTTATGTTACGTTAATCTCATTTTAATTGATGGAACTCTCACTTGATAAGGACCACAACCAAATGGTCGAAACGTCGTGAAAGTATTGAATAAAATGCTAGTCGAAATCAATTTTGCCAAGTTTATTTTCACCATTAGCGTCCAATATTAATTTTAATTGATTTAATTTTTTTATTGTGTTATTTTCATTTTTTATATATTATATTTTATATATTATATTAAATATGCAAATAAATTCCGGTTTATTCAAAAGAGAGCAAATGCTTAATTTTTTTATAGATTGAGGGGGCCAACCTCGCCTCCTTTCAACCCCCTCCTGCGCACGCCCATGTTATCGTTATATCATATCGCGTTATGTCATATCGCCGAGTAGTTATCGATGACATTTTTTGTCGCGTAATTACGCACGATCAAAAACCCGAGAGGTAAAAGGAATGTAAAAAAAGAGTTATATATAGACACACATTTTTTCTGTCCTTTTATGTATTACACTATATAAAAATAAAAATAAAAAAATCTTCCTTGTACGCGATAACGTTGCGAGTCTAAAAACGCTTTTAGCTCGCGCGAGAACCGACGATGTACAGACGAGGGGAGAGTGTTCGATGGATAATATACTTATTACAGCTGATATCTTTCTTGAGTCGAGTCCTCCGGGTCGGAAGGACGGCTTCTCTATCTCTCGGAGAAGGTACCTTCGGACTCGGCCAGGACTCCTCGCGGGTGACAAGAGTAGGCGTGAACACACCTCTGTTTTTTCTCGCACGTGCGGGCCCCCCTTTTAACGTACTAAATCCGTAACAAATGTTTATGTACCGTAAACGAGAGAGCATCTCTCTCTTGAGAGAGAGAGAGGCTTGGTCGGTCGTCGCGTATCTGTCATCCCTTCGCGCGTCACGTGCTCTCACGATATATATTATTATTATTATTATTATTATTATTATTATTATTATTATTAATATTATTATTATTATTATTATATAAATATATAATCCGTTGCATCTCGGTCTCCCGGTCTTTTTTCCAGAGTAACACACAATTCCGAATAAGGAATCTTATTGCATTATCTTGTTCGTTTCTCGATCTTCTCGATCTCCACGTAATGACACTTTCTTATTGTATTTGAACTTTGCAAATTGTTTGCCGATTATACGGATATCGAGGTTTTTGCTTGATGTCTAGTTCTCTCTTTCTCTGTCTGTCTTTATTATTATTATTATTGTTGTTTGTCGTTGATCCAATCGGGGAATCGAGACGCACGAGAAGCAAAGTACGAAGCGATATCATCTCGCCGATTGTAGTAATTATTATTACGGAATTGCGATGACTTTGTGCAACTTCGATTTCGTTGTCGACGACCAGGCCGAAGCCGCGTCTCTCGGGTTTTTTCTTTTTTCCCCGAGAGAGGGACGATGCTCTCCTCCGTTCGCGAGAGTAAACGAAGGAAACTCTCGCGTCTTTATCGTAATTCGCGTTCCGTTTGTCTCTCTTTTCGTCTCCTTTTCTTTCTATTTTTTTTTAAACGACTCGTATAGCTACGCAGATACACGAAAAAATCGAAGAGATATTGACGAAACAATACGTCGAATAGCAATTGTAGTAGTGGATAATGAAAATTTTCTAGTATACCGTACCTCGAGGAACGTGTAACATTGTACTGTTTATCGTATGTATGCAACAAGCAAAAAACAAAATATATGTGTTGATGTGACAGAATGATGAGTTTCTTTTTTTCTCACAATCACATGTCCTCAAGAATCACCGAATTATCCTTGCCATTCATAATTATCCATCTGAGAACGCTTTCAGCCACCGTCGCAAAATAATTTTTTTTTTTTCAAAAGCTGCCTTAAATAGATTATTTATAATATATAAATTAGGGTAAGATTTTTCTCATTCAATCTTTTATTTATTGAAATAAAGATACCAGGGAATCAACTTTTATTTATTATTAAATCTTTTGCTGCAAAATTGATAGACAATTTCCCTCTGAAACTTTTTATTATCTCGACGAGTTTTAATTTTTAATCTTCTAATTAAGATTAGCAGCGCGCTCTCGTAGCAAAAATTTGCAATCTGAATGAAAAATGAGAGAACATTTATTGTTAGATATATAATTGGATTAGACACGTGTGTCCTTTCATTTCATACTCGAGTATATTGCGAAAATCCCAGGTATATATCTATATATACTGCATAAATACTTAAAAAGTCGTAGGAAGAGCGACCTTAGACACGAATGTGTTCCGCTCGGGGTCCTAAGGCGAATCCTCCCGAACCGTGAAAATCAATGCCAATATTCAGCTGGGGTAGGTGGGCCGGAAGAGGGGTGGAACGGGAACAGGGGGAGGAAGAGACGTGGCGGAATATTGATCTGTGCAGACTGTTCCAGACGGCTCCATCCGCGCTGTTATATAGTATATCGCGGGTGCGCGATGACTTTGCGCGCTTAAAGCGGATGAGACGTATAAATTATTCAACGCTCTCGAATATATGCGACCGACGAATATGGACCGACGAACAAAATCGATTCTCCGTCAATGAAATATAATTACGCGGAATTTGCGCTTCTCCAAATTCGATTAAGCAAACGAAACCGAGAGAGTTCCAATCTATATATACCCATTTTACAGGCTGCATCTAAATAAGTGCGCAACATTAATGAATATTTATTTTTAAAAAATATCTACATAAAAAATAATAAATATCCTTTTTATTAGTATGGAAAATATCCACCAAGTTTCATTTTTTAATTTCTCTGAAATTTGAGAAAAAAAATAAAAACTGTTCAGAGAGGGATAATGGATATAAGAGTATATCTTTATTCTTAAGAAACTTCCCTTAATTTTCGACAAAGAATCATCTAAAAATTTTCGCACTTATATATTGTATATATATTATTCAAGATATTTCGTATGCAAAAATGCATAATCGTAATTAAAAATATTTTTTATATATGATTAGCTGTAATTTTTATAAATAATTATAAATAAAAATTAAATTCATTAATTAAATAAATAAATTAAAATCATTAAATAAAAATTAAATTAAATAAAAAATGTGCGCGATATACAATATAGGAAATTTTTTTCGATATCAGGTTTTCTATATTGTTTCATGCATTCTTTAATTATTTAAAAATTGCAGTTGTCACATATGAAAAAAATAAATTAGGAGGACAAAGATTGCATTATTTTTACATAGAAAAAATATTTGGAAAATAAATACTCAATCAGTCCTTTAATTTATAAAAGATAAAGCTGTTGCTTTTCCCTCCCTCTTTATTTCGGGAAATTCGCGAAATCAGTCTCTCGCGGAACTATCTTTCGTCTTTAAGGGTCAACATTCTCGACCGTTTCCATGCATAAAGACCGTTATTATGCGAAAGCTCGGGCGATTCCGTGTCGTAACCGGGGCCGACGAAAGTCGCGCGATAGCGTATAAATTACAACCGCGATGACTAACGCATAAGTGGGGTGAGATCGCCGTCTCTTTTACGATTCCGCATAGATAAAACTACAAATATATGAGGATCCCTTCCTTTTTCTCTCTTCCTCATCCTACCCTTTTTACACGATTAATTCTGCGCGTCGCATTAATCGCCGCGTGACTTTGAAAATAAGATACGCGAGAAAATCAGGCACGTTCCGAACCGTTGTGTAGTAAATTCCTCCAGGTCACGTCCCGGAGATTGTGTTCATACCCATTGACTCTCAAACTCGGAGGCTTCTTTTATCCAGTCACGAACGAAAAATATTTACGAAAAGTAAACGCGAGCGAGAAATAAATTTATACGAGACGAGAATGTAAAAAAAAAAAAAAAAAAATTGTATATATGTGAAATAAAATTGTTCCACGAAGTTGTCTAAAAATGCGAGAGGTTCGCGAATCTTCGATCGGGTTGACAAGCGGTCGTGACACGGTCGACGCGGTGAACCGGTCCATCGTCTTTAAAGAGCGTCGCGTATTACGTACCTTTGACGTACTGTTATTGATCCTCGAGCGGCTGAGGGAGGCGCGTTAAAGCGGCCGAGCTCCTTGGGAAATACGCGCGCGTTTCGCAGAGCGAGCGCGGAGGATGCCGCTGACGTCATTCGACGTCCGATCGCATCCGTTCGGCCTTTCGCTAAATTAGCGTCAAAGCGACCGGGTGAACTCGCCTCGGCGTTGCGACATTTTCTTGGAAAAAATGCCACCGGATTTTCCTCGTGAACGCGCCCGAGGTGCTGCTGGTTGTTGCAACCCCCCGGGGGTTTGCAACTCGCGCGATGACGCATGGGGGATGAACCGGGGAACGGTCATCCGTGTATAACGCGAATATTCACGCGCGAGTTAATCGCGCAGCAAAAAGCGCCGGCGTATTATTCACAGGTCAAACGCTACGAGCGCTATCGGAAAGACAGCCCTCGTTCCCTTCCTCGAGTCACGTCATTATTTATTATTTTTTTTATCAAGATTCTTCGACCGAGATCGGAATCCTCTTTCCTTCGCGTGATGTTAAGGGTTGGAAACAGATGGCGAAAGTAATTTAATTGATTTAACAAAGAGAAAAAATGAGAACGGAAAGTGGTCACGACACCCTCAAACTTTCCTGGTCGCCTTCCGGGACGATTTGGGGTCTCCCCTTTAAGGATCGATAGCATTGCCTATAGAAGAGACGCGCCAGTTGCAGCCGGCCGGGATCGCGGAAGGTTCGACGACGTAGCTGAACGTAGCGCGCGGGAGAACGGCTTGATTTTCAGTCGAGAAAGAGTTGGAAAGGGAGTGAGGGTGGTCGACCACCCCCGCCTCTCGGAGGGAAAGAGAGAGAGATGTGGAGCTTCATTATCGCCGGTCCTTGAACCCTCGCCTCTGCGAACATAACGCCAACGTTCTCTCTATCTGAGCTATATAGCTTTTCGAGCTGTACGAGATATCGATATCGCGGATTATGAAAAAGAAGGATTTTTATATTTATTCATTTTTTTACATTACCTTTATATATTATTTTACATTTATTTTTATATATTATATATATTTATATATAATTTATATATATATATATATATATATATATAATACACGGAGAGAATTTTCTTTTTGAATTCTATATCTCTAAAAATCATAGTAATCGTGGGACAATATGGTATTTTATAAGAGTTTCTCTGATTAATATTTAGCACAATAAAAAATATTAATTGTAAAATTAATCAAACATATTTTATATCTTATTGTGATAGATATTAATATTTTTATTGTGATTTGTGATAAATATTAATCAGAGAAACTTTTATAAAATTCTTCTATAAATATTGTCCTACCACTACCATGATTATCAGGGTAAATTCTAACAATAAGAGAAAGGTGTCTCTGTGCAATAATTAATAAAGATAACAAAAATAAAAAAATATTCTTGTATGATAATTTATCAACCTTATAAATGCGAAATCAAACTGCAAATATTAAAAAAAAAATTTTTCTATTGAAACAAAGATATGATATATATTAATTGAGCCTTGATAAAGGAAAAAAGGGGGAAAACGAGTGAGCTCATACGTGTGTATATCATTGGAAACTTTAACGTTTCGTTTTTGCCATGATGCTGAAAGTGCATCGGTTCGCTGGTTGCACGTGAGACGATCTGCGATCCTTTTAACGTAATCACATCGTTGTTTGTCTGTTATAATTGGGATTAAGAGCCACGTGCATGTCACATCCAAGGACGCACATCGAACTTGCCAATTGATGCATATTTTAAAGCGCACGACCAACATTGTCAGATCTCTATGTATAGATATTTAGCTGTTAATTTTTTATCGCGATGACTCGTGTACGAAGGAACGATTATATTATTTTTTATTTTCCACTAACGTAACACGTGGCAAGAAAGTCAATTATACCGATTACTATTACAGCGAGGTAATCCAATTTTTTTAAATTTTATACCCCGCAGGCTTTGAAAGAGAGAACATAAAGGATACGCGAACTGCAAATACACACATACATATATATTTGGATTTTTCATTTTTCCTTAATCATTTACCGTAAAAATTAAATTAAGCTGATTTTTTGTTTTTAAAAGAGATAATTCATTATATTTAAAGATATTTGATTTTTGAATAATTTTTTAATTTATTTTTATTAATTTTTATAATTGTAATAACAAAATTAGAATGATCCATAATGATGGAATATTCCTGTATCTGTTGCAGAGAAAATTCGAGTTATCCGGAATCGTGCAAGAACGGAATCTGCTCCACATCTCCAGAAGAGATGACTTCCGTTCGCACGTGTTATTGCAAACAAGAAGAGAATGTATCGCGCAAGAAAGATGGCAATATCACAGACGAGAATCGACATATTCCAATTGCCGTATCTAAAAGATTGGTAATCAAGAATAAAGCTTGTACAAGCAACAGAGAATCTCCTATGAGAGAAAAAAGCGACGAGAAAATGGTACACTAAACGATTTTTCTTAATTTTTCACATTTACTCGTTTTATTTTACAATTTAAATGTTAAATATATTGTTAGATGCAGCCCAAAAATCGATCGGTGGAAGTGCAATCCGATCCTGTCTTAAGTCCGGAAACGTCGACTGCGCTCGAGAACGCCGAGAAGATTATTAACAATGCAAAGATACAACTCATGGAAGTCTGCGCAATGTCAAGTCTGGATTCTGTGCGACGGAATAGAAATACGTAAGTATAGCAATCTTAATTTAGACTCAATAATTAATATTTGAATAATATTCTCTCTAAAGAACTTGTTAGTTCCTTTTTGCAAATTCTCACACATTATTTGCATATTTTATATTTCGTGTTACATAATTTACTGAATTTTTTTACAGTGTAACTTGCACATTGCCATAATTTATAAACTTTCCTAATAAGTAAAATTAAATTGTGATCAAGCAATGAGCAAGTTAAGTTTCCTCTATGAGGAAGCTATAACTGAAAACCATCCTAATTAGCGAAATTTCCATTTGTTTTTATTCTTTTCTCAAATTTCAGGCAAATTAAAAAAATAAAACTTGGATCCATTTTCAACATTAATAAAAAGGATATTTATTAATATCTTTTCGATCTTCCTGTATCGTTATAAGAGGATGAAACTAACAATCCCTATTTGATTATTTATCAGAACTGTTATATAAGAAACTCTTAATTTTCCACAAAGAATCATCTAAAATTTGGTGCACTCATTTAGATACACCGCTATAGAAAGGATCTTTTTGCATTCTGTACTATCATGCTTTAGATGTTCGGAGCCGCCGTTGGACGACGAGACGGAGGAGCTGCTGTACATTCGTGAGCTGGTGGCATCCAAGTTTTATGAGACAAGCAGCTCGAGATCGGAGGGGAACGAGAGGACGACGAGCGCACCTTCGGAGAATCGATCTCCGCAAATTACCGTTCGCCGGGTCGATTTGTCGGCGCCTAAATTTCGGATGTCGCGAAGAAGGCAACGTGGGGATCGGTACCTGGAATACGGAAGCGAACGTGCCTCGCCTACCGGAGGGCCATCGAGAGGCGACGACTCCTCGTCGTCGTCGTCATCGTCTTCAGCCGGTGAACGCGAGCTCGTTCGTGCGCGAGAGAACGCGTGCGAAATCCAGATTGGACCCTCGCTGCACATCGTCGACCGGGAATTGACGAGGCAGGACCTGGAGGACGTGCACATCTCGCCGGATTCGTCCTGGTGTCGCGCGAACACGGCTACTTACGTTCTGCGTCGCTCCTCCGAAAGTCCCGTCACGTCCGCGGATAAGGAGGAGTCCCGGAAAAGATCCGGAGCACCCAAGAAGACGCTTCGCGTGAGATTAGATACGTCGCGACGCCAGGAACCAGTCCCGGAAACCGAAGCGACAAGGGTTTGCGCGACGACGATTGTCTCGGAAAAGGGAGATTCCAATCGAGAGAGACTCGAACCTTCCAAGTCTCAAGTTCGAAGTTGCATCAACGGAGAAGAGAAGAGAGAAACCGATACCAGGGATACGAGAATGTCTGAAAGTTTGGAAACAAATCGAGAGGCGATAAATCCGGTCGTGATTGAAAATTCGGGGGCCGATCGTGAAAGATCGCAAGATGAAGCTCAAGTCAAAATTATCTCCCGCGATGAAACGAACCCGGAAGGAGGAAGAATGTTCGATGTTGATTGTCAGGCTTATCTGCGAAACGAGGAGAGTGCTATGAATGGAATGCCGATGAAGAACCAAAGCGATCGATCAAAACCACTGCCCGATAATGACACTTCGAGGAAAGCAGAGTTTCCTCGTCTCGGAAATATCGAGCAAGCTTATCGAGCGGTGGAAAATTCGAGATCACGTCGGACGCAGATTGATGAACGCTTTTCAAATACATTCGACAGCCATAATGGACAAGATGAGCTGTGCGATGTCGCTGTCGAGGATACACATCATCGGTCTTTCGTTTCAAACTGCATACACGATTTTCCAATAAAAGACATTTTGAACGAGGTCGATTTGTACCGACCACGTCTCAACGACTTGGATCTAATTTTGCTCTCCAACGATAAGAAAATCGAGCGTGTCGTTCACGCGACCCAAACCTTCGGGGAATTATTATCCCGACTCGATTTCGCGACGTGCGGAAATGAAGAGAAGCAAACATCCGGGGAATTCCACCATGAATCGTCAGCTGATAAAGTTCTCCAACTATCATCGAAGGAGTCGAATATCGAGACTGAGCTGAAAAATGCGGACTTGACCGTCTCCTGTGTTCCATCAGAGAAGCGAACCGACACAAATATGCGGAAAACGGACACGATAGGGATGGAGTCATCGGGTTTCACGAAGGAAAGTGACTCTCGTAGCAAGTATTCGAAAAATTCTATGGAATCCAGCGTGTTTCCCGGATCGGACACGAGTTACGGTTCGGAGATAAAGTCTTCTCGCGATAAAGTTCAACAACCGAGATTAGAAACGCATCTATCGGAATCGTCGTCGTACAAATCAGACGTCACCACGTTCTCCAACATGGTTCCCGCGTTCTCCAGCACGCGAACAGAAACCCAGACGTGCGAGAAGAAGCAGATTCCTCGAGACAATCGTCATGGGGATGCGGGACGACTTGTCCTAAAATCTGTAAAGGCTGTAAAGAGGTCGTCCGAGATCGATTGCTCTCGCAAGGAATTTGATCACATTTTCACCCAGATCCCCCGAAAAGATACGTCCGAAGCCGCTGATCGGTTCGTCGCTTATTTTCTTCAGGATGAGAAGCAGAGCGTCGAGAACAAAGTCGCGAATGCCTTGAAGGAATCTGCGATGGATCCTGTTGCGGTGCAAAAATTCCTGGATAATATGCGGAACGCGAAACGCGAGGCGGAGACCCTGGACATCCTGAAGAATATCCTGATCGAAGTTCAACCGGAACCAGAAACGAAAGAGTCCATTGGAGACTCTAGGAACATTAGCGAGCTAGATAAGATTAATGCTGACGAAACTTTGGTCGCGACCGCGATAGAAGGATCGATTCCTCGAGTGAAAGATCAACTGGTCGAGCAAATTGCCGAAAAATCTCACGACAAGCCCGATGAACTTTCCCGCGATTCCTCCGCGTGTCGAGGAACGAGAGAGGACGCGGCTTCTCTTCATCCTCTCGAGTCCGCTCAGAGTTCTAAAAATAATCACAGCAAGGGAATCTCCTACTCGGAGGCGGAATCATTGAAGCAGATCTCCGATATTCGCAGCGATGATGACGCACTCCCTTGTAAGAATTCCCCACCTAAGACTGTATCCGCAAAATCGAACGAAGGATGCACGATGGAAGCTGAAGATCTAGATATCAAGATCGCGGAATCCACGAAAAATCAAGAGGACGATGCGACTAACGAGAGACCAGTCGGGAATGAATCGAGCGATGTTCAAGAAGCTGTGAAAGAAATTACAATTGAAGAAACGCGAGGTAATACGTCAGTGAATGAAAATATTGTACCTGCAAAGATTTTGGAGATGATGGAGGGAATTAATTTGGATGCGAAGTCTGCTGAATCTATTGAAACTCCGAAGAAGGAAGATGTTAATCTCGCGCATTCGCCGGCGAAGGAAGATATCGAAGCTTTATGCGCAATTGAGGAATGTAAATCAATGATCAACTCGCGACATTCCGTAGTTAAGGAGAAGGTCGATCTTGTTGCGAATTCCTGCTCGGCTTCTCTGCGAGATAACGCTTCGTTGTCGAGCGCGAAAAATGGCAAATCATTGTTAAAGGAAGTCGCGTCGCACAACATCAAACCAAATATCACTGTTGGAGAAAATGATTTGATAAAGGATAGGAAAAACGATGACAAATCGATGACGGTCGATGATCGTAGAAATGGAACTGAAGTCACGAGGTTTCTGAAAAATATAAAAAACAACGATGAAGAGCAATCGAATGACTTGACATTGCAAGAGCAAAGAATAGATATCTTATCTAACTCTAATTCCAGTGTTAGTAGTATACTGTTAGATTACGATAACAGGTGAATACAACGAGAATATTGTTAACAATTTAATGCTGCGTTCATTTTGCAATCATCTATTATATAATCTCTTAACCACGTATTATTTTTAGATCCACCAATGGTGCGTTTAGTGCAAATCCAAAGAGAGTAAGTTCAATTTTTTATTATAAAATATAATGAGAGAGAAAGAGAGAAATGTGTATAGAAAAAAATTCCGCTGTCTTCTCTTTCTCATTACATATAATTGATATAGTAACGCAATTAAATTAGTTTATTACATTAATTAATATAAGAAAAGGACACTTGCCCTAATTGCACACATTTTATTGTATAATTTTTATTTCTGTTTGAATAATAATTCAAACGATAAAAAATAAAAATAAAATAACGTGTAATTAGTAAACATTATATTAATAATTGATTCCGTTTGCGATTTTAGATGGAAACCTCATCGGAGACGTCTCATTCCGAGGGAGAATTATATATGCCAAGTTCGTGTTCCTATTCTCTCGGGGAAGTGAGAGTTTTGAAGAAACGCGAATTAATCTCGGATAATTCGATAGATCGTGATAGCAGTGCGACGATTCTCGTCACCAGGAGTATGCTAACGTCTTTAAACAACTCTACGATAGTAAGTATATATGCGAAGAGGACAGAGGAAGAGAGATATCAGCAATATTTTAAATAATTATATTTTTCTCTTGCAGTCTTTACTAGAAAGTTCCGGATGTATTTAAAGAGAAATATATTCGTCGAGACGCATCGTGATATATATTTTAATATATATATATATAATATAAACAATAAATTAAATATAAATACATTAATTGTAAATAATAAATTATATTTCAATATGATAAAATTTACATTATAATAAAAAACAATCTATGTTGATGAACATTTTCTTATTACATCTTCATATAATATGTATATGTTTTATAAAATGATACAAAAGAAATTTCTTTTTCAATTTTAAATCGTATGGTTAATAATTAATATAATTTATAATTAAATATATTTATATATACTTTTGTTTGCATAATATTTTTTGTCTTTTCTATAAATTATATATTATAATCGCTCGTGTATTTATATTATTTTACTTTTCTGCAGAAAGTAAAATTGTCAAAAATAATAGCATATACATATACATATAAAATTAAAATTAATTACTCTAATCAAATTTTAATAATACTTTGCAATTAATAATAAAAAAAAAGAAAAGTTTAATAAAGTTATCTGAAGTCATTGAATATAAAGATTCGAGAAAATATTTTTCTATCCCCACTTGATAAATATCTATGACATTTCTCGTAAACACGATTACTAACGTTTATTAATAATTAGTCATCCTCGTATTTGTCGGTCACGTATTTACTTAGCCGATCACGCGCGCGGCCGATAAAGAATATATAACTTCCGGCGGCGTGTTCAACGTGTGCGCTCTGGAAAGTAAACAATAGGATCAGTAACGCGTAGACGAAACGTGACGCGGAACGCGAGGAGCGAATTGCGCGAGCGAATATCTCTGTCACTTCTTTCGGCGCCGGTTTTTCGCGTTCGAGCGGCCGCGAGTCTCGCGACGAAGGAACGTAAAATCGGAGGAGGCGAGGCGAAGCTACGGCGCGAAACACGGCGTTTTGAATGCGGCATGAGACATAACCGCGTACGTGACACGCTGCGCAAAAATGAGATCGATTCGCCGGGGATCGTTTAAATAGTGCCACGAGGCCGGAGAGGATCGCCGATCTGTCAAATTTTCGAACGAGTGACGCGAGACGCGATCAACGACCGGGGCAAAATGTGCGACAAGTGTGTCATCGGTTACTGGGTGCCCGAGAAGAAACGGCTCAAGTTCAATTGGACCGATTTCGAGGATGTCTGCGAGTCCGAGGGATTTCGCTTGAAAATGGTAAGCTCTCCCCGATGACAGATTGAAATTCCATTCCTACGAAGTTCAGAAAAATATGCTGCGCGGATGAGAGGTTATGTGTACGGTTGGAAAGTAATTTTCCTTTGTAATCTGAAGATACATCATGGAATAGAAATTCAAGGATGTGCTCGAGTAGGCGAGACCGATTTCGATCTCGTAATTACGAATAATTGTAATGAAGGAAATGATTCTTCATGCCATGTTGTATCTTTTGCTCTGCTTGCGAAATGCATTCTAAAATACTTTGTTCTTTGTACAATATATTTTGCAAAAATTGCATCATTTCTACATAAGTGTGTCTTCAGGTCAGATCAAAAGATATTTCTTATATCTTGAAATTTGTAATCTGTTTCAGATTGATGTGAGTTCGAGCCTTGAAAATCAGGGACCATTACATGTTTTTCTACACAAACTGACAGATACACAATCGCATGCAGAAAGTGGTGATAAAAATGTATGGCAATACTTATAACGATGTTTACCTTATCACTGATCTTATCTTATATTTTTATAGGCTGAAGATATTGTTTTGCGACTGCAAGAGTACATTGCCAAACACCCAGATTTGATTGTTATCGACCCTCTGGACAATATTAGAAATTTACGCAATCGATGTAAATCTTACGAGTTTATACAGGAGGGCATTCAGTTTAAAGGTACATAGTTTACAATCTGTTACATAATATTTGTTGCAAAACAATCATATATTTTACATCAATTTATTCTTTTTCAGATGTATTTACTCCTAACTTTGTGGAAATCAAAAGCAAAAATGTTCACGAAGTAGCATCGACATTAAAAAAGCGTAATATTAAATATCCATTTGTCTGTAAGCCACTTATTGCATACGGTTCAAGCGACGCGCATAAGGTATACATTTTGCGTGAAACTAAGCATGCGAGAGTCAAGATTTGAAAAAATTACCTGGTATCTAATTTCAGATGATGATAATCTTCAACGAAAGGGATTTGAAAGACTGTCAACTACCTTGCGTTGCTCAGGACTTCATCAATCATAATGCTATTTTGTATAAGTTATTCGTCGTAGGCGACCGTTTTCACGTAGTTGAGCGTCCTAGCTTCAAAAACTTTTACCAAGAAGACTGTAATTCGTTAAGTACAATATTTTTCGATTCGCACGATATATCGAAAAGTGGGAGTAGATCTAAGTGGTCGATATTGTCCGAAGATGACATTCCTTTAACTGTAAAGCCAAATTATCAAATTTTTGAAAAGATTGTAAAAAATATTCAAGAAATATTTCAGCTCATTCTAGTTGGAATAGATGTTGTAATCGAGAATCATACTGGAAAATATGCGATTATAGATGTTAATGTTTTTCCTGGATACGACGGCTATCCGAATTTTTCGAGCATTTAATAGATAGCATTAAAAAATTGTTGGTAAAACAAGGCTCTTGCAGACAAAATTTTAAAGGTTGTACGTTGAAAAAATGTCAAAGCGATGATCTAGATTCTGGTTTTGAAAGTGATGAAAAGAGAAAATCCACAAAATAAATATGTGATGGACAATGTATTAAGTTTGGGCGAAACTAAGCTGTTAGAATTAATTACGATGGTAGCTCAGTATCTTGTACGCATTATGATTTCGTCCATACATTTTTTAAAAGAAATAAAATATTAAGCCATTTTAAACATTTTTCCGATTTCATCTATTAAATGTAATTTTGATATTAAATTTTGGTACAATAAATCTTGTTTGGCACATTGTTTATTTCGTAGCGATATGAAATTTTATTGCATTTGTTTGCGAATTCAAATCCTATATTTTGTATTTTGTAATAAATTCTACAGTACAATATAATGACTCATGACTGCCAGGGAAGATATTTTGTACGTTTTATGTGTATACAATTTTGCATTTCTGCGACAACGTTATATATGCCTGTGAACTGTTGAAGATATTAAAAATATACATAATGAAAAATGTGCGCGAACGAATATAAGATTAGTAGAAACAATCGGAGTAATTGTGATAGTATAATACGATATTTTCAAACGATTACATAATAATAATTGTTATGTTTTTTTACAAATTTGATTAATTTCCCCATTAGAAACTATTGCAATATCATTTTCATTGTTTTTATCACAGTTATATCGATTGATTCTAAACACTCGAAATATTAATAATAAGTTCGGTGATTCTTGTAAAATATACATACATATTTTATTCGGTTATTGTATAATATAGAGTCTGATATTAATCAATTTACTTATTTATATGTACATATATTTTATATGAATAAATTGTACAGAAATGGAAAAAAAAATTATGACAATTTGGAATTTAATTAATCTTGATAAAATAGTATATCTTCTCTCTTTTTTCTGTATATTAAATTTTCATATTTTTTGCATCAACTCTGAAAAATCGAAAGTTATTAGGAAATAATATATTTCGACACAAAAAGTAAATTAAACTGAAAGTACATATTTAAATTCAGTAGCTAACTCTGATTTATTAGGAGAATATGATTTGAAAGAATTTAAATATTGGATTTTGCAGCAAACTTTTGTACTTTTGTCGAAATATGGTCTGGTAACTTTGTCGATTTTTTCTGAATATTGAAAGGTACATATATCTTCAATTCTTGCTTCAATCCTCGTTTATAAATCATCAGCAGAAAAAAAGTTGAATACGAGATTTGCATCGACATTAAAAAAGATTATCCAATATTATTCTTAAATATATTTTTTTTGAAATTATACATTAATCCCAATAAGATATATAAATTAAGAACATCAGTAATAAGAGATAATCCATTTTATTTTCAATTTTATCTGTATACAATATAGCAACCAGCGTTATAATCATTGTAAAGAGATGCAAAGTATGTAATATGTTGTGTTCTTGAAATCATATTTAATAATGTTAAAGAATCTAATTATTTAATCACACAATTTAAGTACAATTTAGGGTGTTTAAGTACATAGTTAAGATAAACACAGTAAATTTTTGAATTTCTATATAAAAAAATTGCTTTGAAAAAAAATAAAGTAGCAAAATTTATATCTTAATTTATAACAAGATACAAATAATAATAAAAACGTATTGCATACCGTGCATCATTATGGTTTTAGTTTTTTTTTCAGGAATATAACCCTTTCACCATAAATCCACTATCCCTTCTCTGAGGATGAGTGTGCGGGAGAGGGCTACCTTCCAAACACAACATGTCGGTACGTATCGCGCAACTCTTTCATATATATACATATAAATATATATTATATTTATATTTAATATGTATATATAGATATATAATAATATTAATAATAATAATCGGGGACAAATATGTCGCAAATCCTTCGTATATAAAATTATACATTAGATTTAAAAAGCAAAAGTTGACAATTTAAGTAGCATCTATCGTATACAGGAACAGAAAGTATCGTCATGTATTGCGAATAATTTGTGTTGTCACGACGACAGGAACATTATTCCGTATTATTAAAGAATAACATAAATTCTATAAACAATATTAATGAACAACACGGTAATCATTGGTTTGCCGCTTTATGACGTGGTTAGAATTAAAATAGGTTTCTTTCTATATATAATGCTTTGTATAATCTGTCTTAATTATATAACTTAATTCGATGTGACAATTCTAGTAAACCAATAATTGTACTCTTGTTATTACTACTATTAAAAAAAAAAAAATAATTGTGTGCATAAAAATTATACGCTTTAAGTAACTTTTTAAGTTACCGCTAATTACTGTTATGATCGATTTCTTCAGATATAGACATTTTAAAAATAAAATTTAGGATTATCTGCCTTACGAACAGAATAACAAAAAATAAAATTCATTTTTAACGTATACAAGTACACTATTCTCATATCGCATGTCACTTTATATGCGCATTATTATAATTGAATACAATAAAAAATTCAATAAAATGTTTTGGTATGGAATAAAAAATTGGAAGAAAAGAAGAAGACTTAAAAATTGGCTTTGCGTTGCACAGAACAAAAGTTTTTGAAATTAAGTAAACAAAGTATTGTTCTGCAATATAAACGCTACAGGTATCTTCAAACAATATTCTATGTTTAAAAATGGATGATCCTCAAAAATAGATGAACCGAGATCACGGACATTATTGGTATATATAAATACATCGGAAACTTCTTGCATAATATGCACAGATCTGCAGTGTAATGTATCACTGGGAGATATATATCTATATATATTTCGGTATTTAACAGTGTGAGGATCATTCATATCCGTTGTATATAACTCTGAATGTTTTTCCCTATTTTATCTATAGTATACATCTCATAATGTAGCATGTGTATACATATATTATGTATTTAGTTGCCTAGAGACATGCGATATAAATTTTACATATCACTATTATGAATGTTTAGTGATAACGATCCTCGAGTTAGATTAAGACAACTAATGTCCGATTACGGTACGGATTCACATTCAAGATATTTCGGTGCATAAAAGCACAATCCAACTCGAGTTTTTCATGAACGTTATATGCATGTATTGTACTCACAGTATGAGAAGAGAAATGAAATATGATAGGATATAATTAAGTATGAGAATTCGTTAATTGAAGAATGGAATTAGAAGCTTTTGCTAAGATATAAAAGCCTTCGCGCGATTATATTATTATGAAAGTGTGTGCGCCAAAATAAGACTACAAGAATGACGATGGAATTACATCAAATTACGTCCTGATATAATGATTAAATTAATGATATAGTCCCGTTACACATAAACATACTTATGTAAAGCCTGATGACGGATGGCTCAGTCAGAAAATGTTATAAGAAAACTATTTATCTTTGTGACGCGCCACATCGCGATCTAAATTTTCTTAATTCAGGAATGTACTCCATAGTACTTTGAGCAACGATTAGAATTATCGCTTAAGGCAACTTTTATGCACCCCGTGACTGCGATAACTATACTTTTTCCTTTTCTTTGTTTTGCTTTTTTCAATTTGTTTCAGCTCAGAGTCCTCGTCTTGATTGTATAAGAGAAATGAACAGAATAAAATGTGAAAATGTAAAAATTTTCATATTAGAGCCTGAGTTATGTTGTTTGGCAGGTACCTATTGATGCATTATTGAAAAAGATTCGTAAGTATATTGTGTACATGTCTTTTGTTTGCTCGAATAGATTCCTGTAGGTATATGTGTGCCTTTTTTTTTCTTGACGAGTTACAGTTTTACGAAACTACAGATATATATATTGTATATATATATATATATATATATATATATATATATAGCGTTACTTGTTATGTATCTCATTATTGAAATGTTTGTTACTTAAAAATCGTCTGCAATAATATTTTAAAAATAAATATGATTTTACTATCATTATATATATATATATATATGTTATGCAGATATTAATAATGGAGAAATATTGTATCTCATCATATTGGTAATATTATTATTTTAATCCTCCATTATATAAAATCTCCATAAATACATACCTCGCGTCGTTTATCTAAAATGTCAATGTTGTTTGTGCGCAGTCACGAGCGTTTGCATCTGATAGATTTGGCAAAACAAAACCAGTTCGCGTTTCGTATCTTCTAGGACAAGCGTCTAACAAGATCAAATGATGAGTTTAACTACTTAAGCGAGAAAATGATTCTAAAACACAGCCCTAGCGCGTATGACGTACTAAGAAATATAGGACTTTCTAAAAAAGACCTTTGGCTTCATGTTTCACGATGGAGCAAAATCAATTGCCGACACAGCGCGTATCTCGTAAACATGGATGTTTACAAACTTAACAACAATACTTAAATTCGCCGCCGCAGTATGTACAGACAGTATGGAACAATCCCCACGAATACAACGCATTCTCCGACGCGGCGCAGAGCTCGTGCAGAATTTTCGCCATTTCATACGACGAGACGAGACGAGTAGTCTGTGCTAGCACAAATTACCCTCCATATTATCCAACAAGGAATTCTTCTCTTCTTTTTTCGTACTATTGCATGTTGGCATCCCGGTTCGTAATTTCGGTTCGAAACACGGCTGCAAAAGAGAACGAAATTGTCCCATTATCTATCTTGTGGCTATCAAATTTTTCTGTTTTGCAAAAATTGAAATGAATTTATTATTGTTTCTATCTGAATTTAGATATACTCTGGCGCTAAAGTGCTTTCTTGCCAAAATTGAATTAATATTGTGACATATCATAAATAGTTATAAAATAAAATATATTTATTCTCTATAGATGTCTTTTTGTAGAAAGTTTTATTAATAATCGTCTCGTCTGTCTATCAAAAATAATTTTTGACCCCGAATTGTATGCAAAAACAAAACTGTAATTACTGACATTATCACACATAATTAATCATATGAATGGTCGCTGACCATCCCCACGACCTCATTTATTAACCGATTGCTAAATGAATGAACCGACACGGGCATGATGTGGAAATAACAGACAAAACAAATCAATCTTAGTATAATTCGATCGTTGACATTGCAATAGAAATCGCGTGAACACATTAGCGGCGCTCATAAAACTATCGGAGATTAATAATCTATTTTAGCACTCTCTTTAAGTTGTTTAAGATAACAGACCGTTCGATATTGACTTTTTTTCTATCAACAAAATAAATTTTGAGAAATTTTTACATGTAAATGTATTTATAAAATTGATATATTTGTAAAATGTGTTTATAAAATGTGATAACGAGACTATAAAAATGTTTTCAGATAATTCTCTCTATATAGAAGATGCTGATAAACATACGTTTATTTGCGATATGAACTTTGATGTAAAAAAATGTATAAAACTAATAAAATTAAAAACAATATAATTATAAAATCAATTATTTAAAAACATAATACAATATATATATATATATATATATATATATATAAATAAATATATATGTATAATAGATATAAAGTCTATTGCGAGGGGGTGTTTATGAGATAATTCTCGCATCACTAATTTTATAAAAAATGAATATAAAATAAGAAAGCACATTATTTAAATAATTTATATAATAAATATATATATATATATATATATAATAAATAAATTACAAAAGTTTAATTTAATACTAGTACACAATACTAATTTGTAATAAGAATCGTCATTTTTAAAAAACGTTCTTTTAGTAAGACAATTATTAAATACCGATAATGCTAATTACTTAAAAAAAAGTAACTTATAATATATGTATGTAAATTAAGTTTAATATCTTTTTCAAGCGCTAAAAAAAGAATCTGTAAAAAAGGTACCTTAAGTGAAAGCAATTATGAGAAATAAATATTTGATTATATTTTTTAAATGCAGAGTTAATGCATGATTGAATGCGATCGCGTTTTCTTATCGGTTAAAGCAAATAAAATTTCTTTTAATTAATCATTATGTAGATAATTATAAGAGGATGAGAGCTGATTGCGAAGAATAATGATTTTGCGTTCAAGGCAAAGTGCGAGCGCGATGCGTGAAAATTATGCGCTTTGCAAGATTTGGTCTCAAGTTACTTTAGTGTCAGCAAAGTGGAGGCGATAATTCACTATCGACTTCGAGCGGTCTTATTTAGATGACATTTCACTCACAGTTTCGCAGATATTCATGTTGCAGCAATTTTCTATGGTAATTTCGCACTGATTGTCCGGCATTTGTGGTCGAGATGTGAGCGGCATCACGCCTTTACTGACCACATAATGTCTCTTGATACGCGGTCGCCTTCGTAATTTATTCACATAGTAACTAAGTCCAGCAATCACTAGAAGAAACGTAGCAGTGAGGGCTGCAAATATTGGTAGCAAGATGTCACTTTGGAAATTGTCATTGAACGTAAGTCTTTCGGCCGTTTGATTAGAGTCCGTACACCTGTTCATACAAAATAACATTGATATTTCTATATTGCATTTATACATAGATTACTGTAAAATCGTATTATAACATATACACAGTTTTTGTGAACAGAAATAATTCCTTAAACATTCATATTATTCATTACTGTTAAAATAATTATATATAATTTTTTTCATATTTTGTCCCTGTAATTATTTCTGTCTATTCTGATAACGTTACATTAAATATCAAAATATTACCGAAAATGTTACGCACGAAATTATTAAATACTAATTGGTTGTAATTACGAAATCTTGTTTTTAATGAAGCATCTGCGTACCTGCACAACACCACACTAATATTGGGTGATTCGCTGCGATTGCTCGCGCAATAATTGGTGCAAATTTGCGCGATGTCGTTCAACTCTTCGCATCGAGTCCCTTTGGAATATTTACAGCTACAGAACGGCCTTCCATTTTGGACGGAACACTGGCCGTCGAATAGGCAGTAATCGTCGCAAACGTCCTTCTCGCATCGAGTGCCGCTAAATGTGTCCGTACACTCGCATTCGGGAAGTCCGCGCTGATTTATAATGCATTTACCGTGAAGGCAGTAATTGTGACAAATCGAAATTTCACAAAAGGGTCCGATGAACCTGTAAGGATTATGTGGCTTTTGCGAATTACTATAGTACTATGGAAATATCTACCTGCTTGAATAAACCTTAAACGTATGTGCTTTGAACTAGTATTCCTATTTTAATATGAAAACAATGTTTATCATAATATATAAAAAGTATATATTTTTTTTAATTTGTTATACTGTAACATTTATTTTTTTTTCAATAGTCTGCTCACACGCTGTATTAAACTACTTGTTACTGTCACTTACCCTGGTTTGCATCGACACGTGCCGTCTGTTTTGTTCAGATGGCCATTGTTTAGGCAGTTTTTGGAGCTCTCGGTGGTCAAATCCGATTCCTCCGTGCTGGTAGTTAAATTATTGAATGTCTCGGCTGACGGTCGTGAAACGGGCTCCGACAAATTCCTCCTTTTCTCTAACATCGAGAAGACTGCCGCGCAATCAATCTTGCCGACGTTGTCCCGCGTAACGATGCCGGCCGGATTGGCATCCTTCTTAGACTCGTAGTACGATTTGAACTTGGTCGGGTAATCTCCGACTTTGACGTTCTTCGGCATGCTCCAGACCGCTCTGTGCACCCAATCGGACCAGTACACCGATTCGTTGTCCACCGCGAGGTAGATCGGCTGCTGGTGCTTGTTGAGGACCAGCAATTCCCGCTCGCTGCCGTCTAAGTTGCTGCGCTCAATCTTGAAATGAATTCCCTCGACGTCATCGATCCAATATAACTTTTGCTGCGCGTGATCGATTGCCACGGCCAGGGGTTCATACAAATTTTCCTTGACGACGATTGTCCGATCGCTCCCGTCGAGATTAGAACGCTCGATACTGGGATTCGTAGTGTTGCTATTCGCCCAGTATATGAAGCTGTGGAAAAAATCGTTGAGCTTATTATCGATTTTTCATCTGTTTCTCTTTCTTTTCTCCTTTTTTTGCGAAAAAATTCTATATTGAAATAATAATTCGAAGCAAAACACACGATAAAAAAAAAATATATATATATATATATATATTTCGTATCGATAAGTTATAAATAAATTTATCTAAATAAACAAATTTATTTAATTTATATAAATTCTATATTGAAATAATAATTCGAAGCAAAACACAATAAAAAAAACATATATATATATATATATATATATATATATATTTCGCATCAATAAGTTACAAATAAATTTATCTAAATAAACAAATTTATTTAATTTATATAAATTCTATATTGAAATAATAATTCGAAGCAAAACACACGATAAAAAAAATATATATATATATATATATATATATATATATATATATTTCGTATCGATAAGTTATAAATAAATTTATCTAAATAAACAAATTTATTTAATTTATATAAATAGATTAACACAAAAGTTATTAACACGAAAGAATATTTTAAAAATTCACGCGTCAGGAATAAATTAATTTTAAACATTTTAATTTGTTGTGACCAACTGTTTTTTAGAAATAATTAAAAATAGTTTCTTTATATATATACATTTTTTTTAATAAAAATAATTTTCTATAACGGTAGAATTTAGAGGAAATATCTTCTTACACATGAAATTGCATTGTCAATGCAAAATGATGAGTATAAGTAATCGAAATATTTGTATGTGATCTTTCACTTTTTAAGCTCATTTTCAGCTGTGCTTTTATTTTTTTTTTTCATAGTCTCAATATTTCGATGACAATGCAAAATGGATTAATGTATAAAAAATTGCCGTGAAAGCAATCCATATGTAAAATCAATCCTTCACATGCATTTTGCTCCTTTTCTTTTCTTTTTTTTTATTTGCGCCGATTTAAATACATAATGTTAAATAATGCTTTTATTTTACTTTACTGTGTAATATGTTTATGTGATACATCGAATGTTACTAAATTGACTTCTAAAAATTAGACACGAGATTCCAAATATAACAAAATCAATGGACATATTTTTATCCTTTTCTTTATTATTTTTATCATTTTTATTTAAAGAGATATTTTTATTATGATTCGCGATGTCTATTTTAATGCTCGTAATATATTTCTAGATCGTACAGATGCGATCAGAAGAGAAATCTGCATAAAGTAGAATATCATAAATGGCACACCTGTTACACACATCGAGAGCGATGCCACATGGACTATTTCCAGTGAGATTGTGCAAAATGATAGGATTACTTGGTTCGTCGTTTAACGGCACCTCCATCTTGCCAATGATCTCCTTCAAGGTATCGACCCAGAATAAAGTTCGCGACGAGGTGTCGAAAACGATCCCCATGATGTGCATTCCGTTCTCTTCTACACAATTTAATTACATATACGCAATTCATTATATTACGTCATATTACATTTCATAGTAGATAAGCGAAGAGAAAAAAGCGCATAAAAATTTTTTAATGCCATGGTATATTTATAATTTATTTTTGTAATGACATTTTAGTGAAAGATTATGTTCTTTCTGAAAGAGAAGAAAGGATCGCGATATCTATACTTAATGATAATGATATAAAATAAATGAAGAATTTATTGTGAAAGATTTCTTTGATTTACGATATATTCGAAAAAATTTTTCATCAATAAAACCGGTTTATAGTTAAATTATCTTTATATGAAATACGTCGCGAGATTTATGTTTCTATAAATACATCTTATCAAGCAAAAGTCCTTCATTGACATTCGTATGCAAAAATTATATTTGTCTGAATTTTCGTATTTTCCCTTGACGTTATAATTTATTTACATTATCTGTATATTTATAATGTATATCTATAAATATAATTCTTTTATTTTTTCTATTTTATCTATTCCAATTTTGAATTTCTTTGTAACTCACAACTTATCGTAAAGAGAAAAGAAGAAGCTAATTTTTACCTTGATTTTTAATTTATTTTCTTAAATTAATTTATTTAATTTTTAAAATATCTGCAAAGCTATTTTATCGGACTTGATTTACTAAAATTGAAAAATCCAATTTACATGTTTTCTCTACTTACTCTTAAGTAAGGGGGTTGAAGTGAAATTTTTTTCCGTGAGATCGTTACTGAATATGGACACGTTGTTCCTTAAGTCAGACAAATACATCGTTCGAGTGGTATCATCGTATGTTACTCCGGTCAGGGCGACAGCTTCTGCGATGTTAGCGTGACCCGTGCGCGAACCGTTCCGCACGAAAAAGTCGATTTCGCTGCCGATTACCACGGCCAAGTCTGCAAAAAGAAGAGAACGGTCAGAGAACCGTTAAAGAACAATTTAGCATCTAGTTTTAGTTGGCCAACCTGATTTTTCTAAATCAAAAAAATTAAAACTGCTACCTGAAAATATTGAGTAACGCAAAGTACTCTGTGTAAATCAAGATCTGTATAATAATTAGATTGTGTCGATAAAAAAAATTAAAAGAATAATAACTATAATTTATTTTTTTATATTACGTAGTTTCATATACATTTATGTATACGTGCAAAAGGATTGCATAAATCGTTATCGTAGTCTAATCTACAAAGTCGCTCTTGAATTCTTTATCATTGATTAGTCGGAAAGTAATCTAATTATATTACATTACATACACATTTCGCAACACTCAAGATTATCAATGATACTTATTTAAAAAATGAAAAATATCTCTTGGCAATGAAACTTTTACGCCGAGTCTAAAGGAGCTACGGTCGCACGTCGCGTCACTTGAGAATTTGTGCTTTACGTGTGATACTTTAAGCTTTGATATATCTATTTGTAAATCAACATGTATATTCTTTTCAGAAATAAAATGATATTTTAATGTAATGTAATTACAAATTTAATTTTTATTATTAAACATATTTTTCAGGTATTCTAATAACGTATAGAATAAAATTTTTATCTTGCAGAAAAATAACTAAATTTTGATATTTTTTATGTTTATATTTAGCGTTAAAATGCTTATGTATTGATTATTGTAATTAATGTATCTGACGTACGTATTTGTGACGTAAAAATGAGAAACCCTGCAAATAGATTCTTAATGAAATGGAAAGAGACACACTGAATTGAGTAAGGTTGTATAATTACAATTGATGACCGTGGTAGAATTAATGAGTAAGATAAACGACACGTGAAACGACTTCTTCAATATTCGTTGCATTCACGTATAAGCGTACTGTGCGATAAAGTATCTTAACTACATATTTTTGCTTTAGTCGAAATATATATGTAATTTTCGTTGCATTACGAAGCACATTTACGGTTTGTCGATCTTCCTATGAATTATAATCAGAGAAACACTATGATTATGAAAGATCGCGCACTATAATTGTGAGAGATTGCGGGAGCATCGCAGAAATTTCAAATTATTGAAGAAAATATTAATTGTACGATTTGTATATACTAAAATTATCGCATCGACATAAACCAGATCGAACGATTACCTAATTACACTGAAAAAAATTGTTAACCTAACTAAACCTTTCAAATAACTATTTTGTTAATAAAACATAGAAGAATATTAAAATTAAATACAACATTAAATTTCATAAAACGATATATTTGAGACTTAAATACTAATATATGTTCAATTAACAAAATAGTAATTTAGTTGAAAAATTTAGTCGAGTTAACAAATTTTTTTTTCAGTGTAGATTTATCTCAATTTTTAACAGTATTATCTGATTTTATTTTCGAGATGACTGGCCACAAGCAGATACACAATGAGATTATGTTATAATCAGTTATTACGAAACGAAGAACGTTCTAGCGATCTGTCACAGTGTTGAATAATTTATTTATCGAGTCTTGACTGATAAAGTGTATGCGTTTGAATAGCTGGCGCAATAATATACACAATATCACGATACAATTTATTAACATTAAAGAGGCAGATGTCTTTTTACGTTTCCTGAAGTAAACTAAAAAAAGAAAGTGTAAATTTTTTTTTTGTAAAAAAAATTCGACATAAAAACTTTGATTAAGTTGTGGTAAATCAGATAGTTTTATTTTTTTTCTTTACAATAATTTCATATGTATCAGAATTATGCATCAGAAATATTGGTCAAGCATTAATGGAAATGAGCTCTTACAACATCTACTATATATTATTTATTCGATCAGATATGGCACGTGATACTATTAAACAACGTATATGTGATGTAAAAATATATCTTCTATTATCGAAATTATTATGTGTTTTATATTGTTTGTTCGATTAATAATAAGTGGAATATATGATAACAAAGTTGTACAAATATAATTAACAGAGCTTATTTATTCCGGGTTATAGTACACCTCTTTTTTTATGTTCGCAGCAAGGACAAAAAACTCGTCGCGAGATAATATTTTAAGTAACAATATATGTTAAGTAATCATATATGTATCGACTTCTTTAAAACTTCCGAACTAAACGGTATATAAATCCGTGTTTACACAATGTGTTCTTTTTAACCGAAAGCGATACTTTCTGTGAGCAATACATTTACGCAAGAAAAAAAGAACGCATTTTTCTCGAACAAAACAAACGCAAGAGAGAGAGAGATGCGAAGGCAACTTTATGGAAATCGAGTTCGCGCTAGTTTATTCATACGCGATTTTTCATGCGATTGCACACGTGATCTGCGTATATAAATAAAAACTTGATTGTTGCGATGCAATTTTTTTTTACTTTTCTTCTAAAAGCTTCGAGAATTTTTTGACGTATCTTTTATATATAATATTTATTAATATTATTAATATTCAGATACACATATATGGCGCGGATTCAAAGATTGTGTAATCGCTAAAAGATAGGTATAAATTTCGTGGCATGATGATGCTCCTTTGATGTTTCTATTAAATTATCGGTTAGATTCAAGAGTCTACGAGATGTTTATTATTATGTCTATAATACTAGTTATAACTTTCTGCTGAGTAATTTAGCATACTGTATATAAACATCCAGAGTGATTTGATACAAATCAGCATTATCTAGAAAAGTTTACGATTGTCTAACAAATTGCGCCGATAAATAGTTCTTCCCCCGATTATGTAATATTATTTCTTATCGTGCTCTAAATACGATACTTTGATCTTTGACTATAGATTTATTAGCTTTTCCGAGGCGTCTGATTAGCGTCAACATTCCGATATATTACAATACATCGATTATACTCCAAATTATTTAATGCGTGTTAATAAATCGAGACGAGGAACGAACTATCGACTGCGGATTTTTAAGCGTCCCAATTGATTTCATTAAGTACGCTCTCTCTTTTTCTCTGATACATCGCGTAAACCAGGAAGCGACTCAAGGTGCCAACAATTTCATACTTCTTTCGCCACAAATGAATATCATGCAATTTCATATTTTGCGCCAACAATGAGTGAAAACGCGCGACCTTAGACGTGACCGCGAAATAATTGCCTCGAAATACAAATGTTCACGACCCGCGACATCATCGGAAGAACAAGAATGATTTTCTTCGATGGGTATCGTCTGCCTGCTCCCGTTTTCTATTAAAGTATGCGTATGCAATTGCGTTCGCGCGCGCAAATCGTCACCTTCGGTGGCTGACATTTGTTACATAAATTCAGGTATAGGGACGCGGGAGAATGACAAATCATAACGGGCGAATGATCGGCGATATATTAATGATAGCGCGTAAGGTCGTTCGCGGCGACGTTTCATTCAGCTTTCGTGCGTGATCAGATGCGCGCGTAAAAGAAAAAAAAACCGCCGAGCGCGAACCGAGTGGCGTACGTGACGAGCGGCCGTGGGTGAATGGAGTCGGCGCCTCGTGCACCGACACACGCTTACGCGTACACACGGACGCGCACACGGACACGGACGGCCGCCGGTGTTTCTCTGTGTCCGCGCTCCGAAATAATCGGCTGCTCGCCCGGCGCGCTACGTGTCATTAAGGGAGGCCCGAAATTAACGAGCGCGCCCTTAAACACGTGTCTGTCATATATCTTTCTCTCATAAACTTACCCCAGGATCTGGCGTACGCCGCGACCACGAGGACGCATGATAGAAGAATTCTCGGCAGGAGGTATCGTGTCTCGGTGCGGATCATGACTGGGGATCAGCTGGCATTCGCGCGGGCAAATCAAAGTGGGAACGGGGAGGACGAGCGAACGATTAGGCGGGATGGACCAAGGGGATGAATCGTTCTTTTTTCTTCCACGCGTGCCAAAAACACGTCCTCACGCCGCGGCGGCCGTACGCGAACTGATCGCGAGTGATGTGATGAGGCGGCTCGCGCGACTCGCTAAAGCGCCCTGTCGCGCTGCGCCGAAGCGCCGCGTGTGGGTCGTGGACACTCGGTGGGCGGCATTTCATCCCAATAAAGAGCAGAGTGTCATTTCGAATTTATTCAGTCTCTCTTATTGTTGCTGCTTTTATACACTGAGAGATTTTTTTTCGAATTTATCTCGTAAAAATCATGGGAATCGTAGGGCGGTATTGGAAGAATTTTATGTTGATTTATATTTATCACATTACTTATAAAAATATTAATACACTAAAAAAAAGTTGCCGAATAATCGTGAAGCGGTATTGGAAGAATTTTATAAGAGTTTCTCTGATTAATATTTATCACAATAGAAAATATTAATACACTGAAAAACAAATTATTAAATTGATAAATATTTATTTCTACACTGTCTAATAAATCATTTATTTAAAACGAATAAATATTTATGTTTTGAAAAGGATTTTCTTATATCAAATGAATATTTGGTTATCACAATTTTCAGGGTAAATTCTAAGAGAAAATTATCTCCGTAAATGTAATTATAACAACCCGCACGCGTAATTTTCATCGTAATTATATATCCGCGTATTTGGTACAACGATGATATAACGCAAAAAATCGTCCTTCTTGAATTATTAGTACAGGGAGAATGGTTGTACTATTATTAAATCATACACAGAGAAAATGTTTTCTTAGAATTTACCTTGAAAATATACTAGAAGAGATTTATAAGAGTTTTTCTTATAAATCTCTTCTATAAAGTTATTATAAAATTAATCGAACATATTTGATATCTTATTGTGGTAAATATTAATCAGAGAAACTCTCATAAAATTCTTTCAATATTGTCTCACGATTTCCAGGATTTTCAGAGTAAATTCTAAGAGAAGATTCTCTCCGTGTATCTCCTAAAAAATTACAATTTTTGAGTTATGTTATTGTTGCAGCAAATGAGCGATATATTCTTGAAACAGATGGGTTGACTTTATTTTGAACTTTACTTGTGCGATAAGTACGGATTTATTTGAGATTTTGTTTTTGTAATTGCGACAAAGATAAATTGGGATTTAATCTTTTTAAAAAGTTTATTCTGTGTTCATTTTTTCCTCTTTGCTCTCTTTTTACGATTAACTGATTTGCAGTCCAATATAAATTGTCGATTTAATCAGTCGCGGATTATAATAACGTTCTATATACTGTGCTCTGAATCGAATGAACTGTATGGATCATAAGGTCATTCGGCGAATTTCCCCATATCACGTGCTTTAATCGTTAATTATTGCTGCGCGTTTGATTAAACTTGATCAATGCATATTAAATATCCATTAAATTTTATCGCGCTTAACAACGTAATTGTGATAAGAAAATGTTTGTTATTAGAAATAAGGAAAACTATTTCATATCTTTCACAATATACATTTCTTTTTTTAAACGAATTTGATTTCAAAATATTTATCTGTTATTATATTTACAGTTACTTTAATATATAGCAAGTGTTTTCCTTCTTCCTCAACAAGTCGCAATGACTTTTAAATCCCACGTATGCTTGAAAAATAAAATTTTTTAAATAGAATGAATCATAATTAAATATAAAGAATAGCACAAAAAATGACATTATACATAAATATATAAGTTTGCAAAGAATTCCTCTCTGAGAATCTCGCATAACAGAATATTTAATTATCTGTTATTCGTTGCTTTAATTTCTGTCAACAGATTGTTTTATTTTTTTTTTTTTCATGATATTATTTATGTATTTTATACGCGATTCGGAGTCGAATGTCAGAAATGTCTCGAAATTGAAAATCTAATCGATCGCTACGCCATTGTGCGATCGCGTGTCTCGATTTGTGGCTCGTGGCTGACATACGTCAAATTTCTTCTCCTCATTTAAGCTGAGTGAATCCTTACCGCGGTTCTTCCTATTCGGAAATGTGAGAGCTTCATTACGGATTTGGCGCAATTTATTTGACGCGACGCGATTAAATCGATAGACGATCGCTCGTTCGTTTTAGATCTCAAACGACTTTTCAAAGATTTTCTTTCAACTGCATAAATATTCAGAAGGAAAAAACGACTTATCATCTTGTAATAGCTTTTTTAAGCTCAAAAGAAAATGTTATTTTTATTTGATCGAATGACGTAAAATGATCTTGTTTGCGCATTCCAATTAAAATGCGTGTAAAAAAATGAACTTTTCCAAATTAAGTTAGTTATTTAAAGTTAATGTTAATATATATAAAAAGTAATGCTGTGTACTTATAATAAGCAGATTCTTTAGATTCTTTGGATTGTTTGAAAATATGCGATTATAATATCTAACTTTTCGAGTTTCTCTCTTGAATTTTTTAATCCTTGTTCTATAATATTATATCTCGAAAGCTGATTTCTTTTAAGGATCTTTTATAATAATGTTGTAACTTAACACAAAGTTTGAAATTGTTACAAGCTTCTTGTACAGACCTCGTTGCTATCCGCTGCTGATAAGCAAATATCTTTTGTAATCTTGTTATCAAGGTACGCTATATTATTGACGCATGGTTAACATTTTATGTAAAAGTTTTAGAATAATATTAAAATGAGAGAATTAAAAGATGGAGTATTAAAGATGTTAAAATATTAAGATTAAAAAAAATGTTATTTTACCCATTAAAATATTTATAACATTAGAATGATAAAAAAATTTGTTAAAAATATTGCAAACTGCACTTTGACATATTTAGATAAAGTTAAAATTTAGCTGTCAAAAAGGATTTTATTTTAAATCTTTTATAACTTTAGAATGATGCAATATATGCGTAATAATATTTCGATAATATTTCATTATATTCTAAATTCTTTTCGGTCTATCAAGGTTTATTAGGTCTATTAGGATCATTTTGTAGACAATATTTTAAACGCTTGCTGGAAAAATTAATTAAAAAATCTCAAGAGAGAGAGAGAGAGAAAGAAAATAAAGCAACGTAAACCAATGGATTAAATTATAATCTTGCTTAAGCATCATGCGTTATAGAAAGTGTAAATAACATGTTTAAGAGAAAGTCGAGAAAGTAAAGAACGTTTGATTTATAAAGTGCTTCGAAGACATATATGTCTAACAACGATAAATATATTCTAGAAATAAAAATAATGCACTGAATAATTGCGCACAAATTGTAGAGATCCAAACAAGAAAACGAGAAATTACCAGAGATTAGAATCAGCTCTATTAAAATATTCAGCCATTTACTGGATCAAAAAAATTTTGCATCCTGATTGCATTTCTAATATTTGAAGACCAATACTTGTAATTTTCACTTTATTTTTTTTTTTTACAAATTCAGTCAAGTAATAAAATATTTCTCCAAAAAAAATATTACAAAATTTGCAAATACTCAGGAGGGGTATTTAAATAAGCGAAAAATTTTAGGAGATGATTCTTTGTTGAAAATTAAGAAGATTCCTTATGTATATAAGCACATATACTCTTATATATCCCTCCCTGGAAGGAAGTTTTTTTTCCCTAAATTTCAGACAAATTAAAAAAATGAAACTTGTTGGATAATTTTCCACTAATAAAAAGTATGTTAATATTTTTTAAGACTAAATCTATTTAGCCACACCTTGTACAAGATCATTAACTTGTAAAGTTTCAAAATATTGTGAATGTACTCAAACTCACGGATTTTTTCATTATGCAACTATTATATATTACATTCTAAGCTAAATAAAGAGGGATGAAGAGGGTGCAAAGAAGCTTCCAGTTTGAATCAAAAAACCCGGGTAAAAAATAAAAATAAAAAAAAAAAAAATAATTCAGGGAATTGTACGAAAGTCTCCGAGCTCCGGAAAATCGAAAATCGTGCGACTCGGAGCGACGACGTGGAGTACTAGGCAGGCAGACAGGCGGCGGCGGCGGCGGCGTATATTATTGATCAATAAGAGCATGGGCGCCGCGCCGTACCGGTGTGGCGCGGCGGCGGAGGCAGCTGTCACTTCCTCCGCGTTTTTACGTCGCGCGCGCGGATACACGCGCTCGCCGCCGCGCGCGCGGAACCGTGTCCCGGCGCGTCCTCGCGATCCTCGCTGCGCCTCCTCGGTCCCATCCTGACCACGTCGTGGAAGCAGACCGTCCGTCAGCGCCGGATGCCCGTGCCCGTTCCGGAAGTATACACCGAGTATACGCGCGCCGCCGGAGAGCGCTTACGCATTCTCTCGGCTCACGGGAAATATTCTACGGCGCGGAGGGGTGCGACACTGGCTGGGGGTAACGGTGCGAAAGGAGAGAGAGAGAGAAAGAGAGGGAGAGAGTGAGACCGATGTGCTACGACATGTGTCCGTGCTGAGGATCGCATCATCCCCGACTGTGCCGACCTACGAGGGTACGAACCTCGAGGCAGAGGGTGAGACCGGTTCCACGAGATATAGGGGAAGAAACGGGAGGAGAAAGTTAGGCTAAAAATTCTCCTCGTCCCCTCGCACCGAGGTTTTTCTCCTTTCGTCGTCTACGCGGGACCACCGATGCAGACCTTACGGAAAAAAAACAGTCCGTGCAAGTGTGAGTAGAGAGCGGATTCTCGCTCCGACTCGCGAGTCTCTCCTCTTCACTGCGATATCATATTTATTTAATATATAGATTTGTGTTGCGAATTTTTTTCCTCGCGAAGAATCTCATAAATTCTTTGTCGAGTCGTTTCCCAATTTCCCCGACGAGTCGGGCTCGTCGGCGCTTCTGGTACCACCCTGTAGATACATTAGGGGTGGTTAGGGGCGCGTAATATGGCTTCCCACGTATATGTATTAGAGGGACAGGGTCGCGTCTCGCATCGGGAGATCTGGCTACGCAATTGCGACGCATCATCTCGCATGATGCGTGACGCACGCGACACCGAAGGTCGCGAAAAATCATCTCGCGTTAGCCTCGAATTTGCTCGTGCGAAAAGCGAAAGTTCTCCCCCTCGTTTACCATTCGAGCGAATTCCTCGTCGGCTTCGATCACACGATTGTCGGCTCCCCATAAGATGTCGACAGCTGTGTCGTGCGCGTGTTCGAGATTACTACTGAATTTTTCTGGAGGGCAGCGCGAAAATGCATTCGTCTCCTTATTTTCTCTTTTTACGTTCATTATTTTCGCGAGCTAAAAAAATTATTGCGTGGGGAAGAAGTTGAAAGACAGCTGGAAATTATTCTACAGCGAGGGTATCTTGTTAATTTTTCGCGGAGGGATGTTAATTTGTCGGTATTACCTATATTCTCGTTAATACATAATTTAAAGACGTTGATGGTTTAGTAATTACGAGTTGTGTAATATAAGTATCGAATATGAGGTATTGATCATATTTCCAATATAGGAAATACGAGAACGCAAAAGTGGAATTAAATGAATTGTAAAAAAAAAAAATGCAAGTCATAATCATTACATATATGTTTTTTAAGTAGATCGGCTTCCTGTTGAGTGACGTTAATCACAGCAATTTATTATTCACATATTTTTTTCTCCGATTACATGACTTTTCGCAATAATTACGATCTTCGTCTTATGTAATATTTTATACGATATCATCAGGATATCCTGATGAATAAAAAGGTCAGTTTCGAATCGAGCCGGACCCCTTCGATCTGATTTTTTTTTTTTAATGAAAATGTCAAAGGTGATCATAGTTTGTCGCGACACAATTTTTTCACGTGACGATGCAAAGTTCTTTGCCACGTCCGAGTGCTCCATTATTGCGTATCTCGTTGCACAGTATATAAATTATATAAAAATACAAATTACATTGATATTAAAAAAATTAACAGAATATATTGAAAAAAAAAAAAAATTATAAATAAAATCAATATTCGGTAATTAAATGAGAGAGAAAGAGAAAAGTTCCAGAAATATCAATATTTGCAAATTTGAAGCTAGAATCTCTGTGGAAACAATTTTTTCTTAGCTACAATGTGCGAGAGAGAGAGAGAGAAGAATTTATTGTTTTTTTATTAAAAAAAAAATGATAAAAAAAATTCGATTCCAGTCCTCGCTTTATTCGATTGCTTTATCGTCTCGTCTCGCGGTTCGCAATAATAATTGTTGTGAAATAGAGGTGCGGGATACAAAACGGGACCAAGTGCAGGTCGCATCTGGCACAAAAAGTAAGAGAAGCAAGGAACCCGGAGCGCGTGAAGGAGTCTCGATGGATCGGCACCGAACGAAATATATATTATCGAGGGCCGACAGTTGGCATTCTCCACTCGAAATCGACGAGCACCTTCTGAACAAACGCGACGACAGGCTTCGATCATTAAAATCGTAGGGGTAGCGAGAGAAGTCTCGAAGCGCGAGAGAGAAAGAGGGAAAGTCGTGATGGATCGGCGCCTCTCGAATTTTTTATTGTTCTTTCTCTTAGAATTTATCCTGAAAATCATATGGTAATCGTGGGCCAATACTGGGAGAATTTTAAATTTCTCCGATTAATATTATCGCAACATAAAATAGTAAAAATAAAAAATTTAATTTACTAAATTTTACTTAAAAAGTTATTAAATGAATAATTATATTTATTTCAATACTGTCAAATAATTCATTTATTTGAAACAACTAAATATTTATCTCCTTTGAAAGGCAGTATTGAGATAAATATTTATGCGAATTCAATACATTTATTATTAATTTTATATTATAATAAAATTAATCGAACATATTTTATATCTTATTGTGGTAAAAATATTTAATTAAAGAAACTCTTATATAAAAATTCTTCTAATATTGTCTCATAATTAGCATGATTTTCAGGATAAATTCTAAGAGAAACTTCTCTCTGTGTATATTTGAACATATATCTTCATCGAAATCGACTATCCGTAGTACAGTTAATATATAAATATTCTCGCGAATAGCGATAAAAAAAGAAAAATATTCAGAACAATATTTACAATTTATACAATACATTATAATTGAAATTAATTACGTTTGCTAATTATCGAAACCGCGACGTTATAACGCATGTAGCTCCGGTTTGCCGGATATATCAAACACTTGGACATTGTACGACAATATTACTTCCATTACTAAAACACAATTACAAATGACATGCATTATTACGGCAGCTAAGCTGTAAATAGGTATCCGACCCAATTATCGGCTTCCGTTCCGAGCTATTAATTTTAACGCTCTTCTTCGTTGACGGGGGATCATTCTCGAGAGCGGAGTTCTCTCTCTCTCTCATTTTATAGTCCCGGGGCCGGTCGAATTGATTGCACGGACGATCGATTATCGGTTTAATGCATTCGAAAGGTCCACTTCGTGGACCCCCATGGCTCCAAATACGATCATTCGATCCGAGCCTCGTTCACGAGAGACTGAATCGGGCCCACACGTCGTGACATCACAATAAGAGCTTCTCTTTTCTTGTGTTTAGCAATGCTTTCACGTCACTTTGGCGACTGGTGCGGAATAAAAAACAATTCGCGGAAAACAACTTGAAACTTGTGACCAAGAAGCGGTAAAACTACTCCACTTCAGATCGTGGATCGTTTAACTTTAGATAACTTTATTCCGAGCTTTGTTTCAATGTGACACGTAAGCTTACTTTCTAAAGTGTTATTGCGCTAATAAATCGATATAAAATAAATATCGAAATTTTGTGTAAAATTCTATTATTTATATTTCTGGTATTTTTTCATCTGTTTTATAAAGAGATAATTGGAATCAATTAGAATTGTACGATATTTATTTATAATTCACGTCTTTAATGAATTGAATTCGATTAATTTCTCCAGGTCTTGTTTATAGAGTAATAAAATGTTTTCGTTATTTCACATCAGTCAAGAATGATCCACGTAAGCTACTTTCTAAAATCTTGCACTATTAATAAATCGATACAAAATAAATAGAAATTGTGTGCAAAAATCTATTACGTATATATCTGGTATTTTTCATCTGTTTCATAAAGGGGAGAAAAATGCAGCAAATTTACACATGACACAAATCTTGAATTATCGTACAAAATAATTAGAATGAATCAAAATCGATCACAAGATAATTAGAATTATGCGATATTATTTTTAATTCACGTCTCGAACGAATGAATTGAATTCGATTAATTTCTCCAGATCTTGTTTATAGAGTGATATAAAATGTTTTCGTTTTCAGTCAAGAATGACCCAACCCGTTTTCTTGGGGAGGGCGTATCGTTCAAGGCGAAACTCATCGGTATTCTCGAGGTATCGGAAGCACGCGGTGACCGGATGTGCCAGGCGGCCTTGGCTGACCTGAAGATGGCGATTCGCGCCGCCGGTGAACACAAGCAACGAATCGCCGTTCAGGTCAGCATAGACGGGCTTCGTTTGAGGGACGAGAAGACGGGGGTGAGTTTATTCGCGATATTATCCGCGCCTTACACTGCAATGGATATCGGATATCATTTATAATCGTATTCTTATCTTCCACACAGGACTGTCTGTACCATCATCCGGTGCATAAAATATCGTTTATCGCTCAAGACATGAGCGACTCGAGAGCCTTCGGTTATATTTTCGGCTCGCCGGACACCGGACATCGGTTCTTCGGCATCAAGACTGATAAAGCGGCAAGTCAGGTAGGCCTCGTCTTTGCCTCGTTTTAAGTAATTAATTTTTTTTATTATAAGATACACAGAACGACGTAATCTTGTGGATCAAATCTTATACGCGGAAAGAATTTTCTCTTAGAACTTACCCTGAAAATCACGAGTTTCTCTGATTAATATTTACCACAATAAAAATATTAATATGCATATAATGAAATTTGCTATATATACAAATTCATATTTTTTATTGTGGTAAATATTAATCAGAGAAACTCTTATGTACAATATGTACTGTCTATTTTATTATGTATACATAGTAAAATTAATCGAACATATTTTATATTTTATTGTGGTAGATATTAATTTTTTTCTTTTATTTTTCTATTTATATATTTTAATTTATTAAAAATAAATTTACAAGAGAATTTCCTCTTAGAATTCACCCTGCAAATCATGCTAATCGTGGAACAATATTGGAAGAAATTTATAAGAGTTTTTCTAATTAATATTTTTTATTATTTTTAATAAATTAAATAAAACCGTCGTTGTATATATAGTACACAGAGAGACTTTCCTCTTCGAAAATTATGTTAATCGTGGAACAATATATGATATTGGACGAAATTTACAAAAGTTTTTCTAATTAAAATGTTACTAAAAATAATAAAAAATATTAATGAGAAAAACTCTTATAAATTTCTTCGAATATCATATATTGTCCCACGATTAGCATGATTTTCAGGGTAAATTCTCAGAGGAAATTCTCTCTGTGTACTATATACAACGACGGTTTTGAAGGTCTGCATCAAAGAGAGAGTTGTCGAGAACACGCACAAGCGATTACGAGCTCGCGTTCCTACGTCGCGGTTAAAGTGTGTCAATTATCGGGAACGAGTAGTCGCGGCGGGGTAGAGCCCACCCTCGGCGGGAGCGAAGTCTAGAATGATATTTGTCCAATCCAGAGGAAGCAATATATCGACCCCGGGCGCGGGACCGTAATCCCGGACGCGTATGTAAATAATTGCATTACACGGAGCCGAGTCCTCGTCTCGCGTGGGAGATTGTTGCCGGATTATCTACGGTTCGCTTCATGCGCCGTTCAAAGGGATCGGGCGAGCAACTTCTTGATATTCAAATCCATCGAAGATCCCACTCTTGTGCGCGTGAGTATCGCGCGATTTCACGGACGCAACCCTTTGAGCTTTGTCCTTTTCTTTTTTTTTTTTTTTTGCATCGAGGAAGAGCAAAGATCGCGCTTAATTAATATATGCGTAAACGGAGAAAATTTTGTCTTAGAATCTACTCTGAAAACCGTGGTAATCGTGGTATTGGAAGAATTTCATGAGTTTCTCTGATTAATATTTTTACCAAAATAAAAAGTATTAATATCTATAATAAAATATAAAATATGTTCAATTAATTTTATTATATATAGTAAAATTTACTGTTATATTTTTATATTAATATTTTTTATTGTGGTAAATATTAATTAAAGAACTCATAAATATTAAGCAGAAAACTCATCAAATACCATATTATCCCACGATTATGGAATAAATTCTAAAAAAAAATTCTCTCCGTGTACCTAACGTGTTTAATTAAATGTAATCGATTGGGAGAACGTTGCGTGGGAATGTTACCTTATATGTATATTAAATTAATGGAATGTAATTCTAGTGATATTAATGCGAGCTCTTTTTAATAAATAAATATAGACCTCATCATCAGATATAATTATTTTTTAATCTCGTAATACTGTTATATTTTTTTATCTAAATAATTGCAGAAAAATGTTCTCTCTTTCAATGCATTTACATTTACATTTACAAAATATTCTGTTATAAAGTTATTCACGCAATACGTTAGCGCGTTCGCGGTTAACTTTTTCAACAAGACGCGAATATTAAATGCAATGCGGCGAATAGAAGTTTCCGACGACTAATTGATCGCGTTATAAATCAGGGAATATATTTAACTCTGTTAAACGGAGAGACTTTCGCTCTCGATCGAGATAGAGAAAGAGAGAGCACAGTTGTTGGGGCCCTCAACTCGCGCTCAACTCAATAGCGGCGATCATCGCCGGGAAAATGAAATCACGCCCTGCGTGACAGGTGGCAAATTAATTCAACAATCTTACGGCCTTTATTCAATTTCCAAGTTTAATTTCTGCGCTCGCCTCCTGTAAACGACTCCGGTAATCCTCGCCCGTATATATATACATATATATGTATATGTACGGCGGTCGCGTTTGACACGTTGCTGGAGCTTTTAACCGACGTACAGAGAATCGCAGCAAATAGAGGGGTGATGTTGCACGAGCGAGGGTGGAATGAACGACCGAAAGGGCGAATAATGTTTTCTATTTTTTTGATATTCGCGAAGAAACAATTAATTCAGAATTAACTTTCTCTCTCTTTTATCTTTCCAAAGTGCGAATCGATTATCAATTAAATACATAAGAAAGAATTCTTTTTTTTTTAATATATAGTGGATAACAAATTATATAATATATAAAAATTATAAATTATATAATATATTCGATAAAAACTAGATATAAAATATATATTGAAAAATATTCCATAAAAAATAAAATATTGATGATAAAAAAAGTTCACTAAGAAATAAATTTTGTTATCGCTGTTAATTACATCTTTCGAGAAGGAAATTTCTGAAAAATTGCATATTCAATTCCTTGAAACTCTATCTCGGTAAAAACTGTCGGAGCAAAAATATCTTGGAGATAAATCTCTACTTTCAAAATGATATGTTTCTGTTCGTTTTGACGTATCGCACAAGGTGATAAAAGTGTAAAATTTGTTTGACAGGTGGTGATAGCGATGCGAGACTTGTTCCAAGTAGTGTTCGAGCTGAAGAAGAAGGAAATCGAGCTGGCGAAACAGCATATAGAGCAGAATGCCATTAACGCGATTAAATTCCACGCCAGCGGTATTTTCGTTGAGCCAGCGCCTGATACCAAAGTAAGTTCAGTGCCTCGAAAATAATTGCTGTCATAGAGAGATACTTAAAATTCTTCTCAGATGAGTCTTCGCACTTTTAACTTTATTTCCACGAAACAGCGATTTTTTTATCCACACTCTCTATTATTAATTAAACCCAGCATTAAATAGGCACTAAGAAAAATGATGTAATTTACAGAAGCTGGAAGAGTTGTAACGATTTGTTGCAGGGTGCAGCTGGCACCGAATCCTCGTTTCATCGACTTCGCACGAATAATTGCGAGGCCGACAAACCCGCCGATCGTAAGAGCGAATCCCAGAGCGGCGTGATCGCGGATTTGCTAGATCTGCAATTTGAATTAAACTCGCTGCAGCAGGGCATCCACCAGATGGACAAAATCACGCCGGAGAATCCCGTGCCGTCTACCGACGATCTATTCGAGAGTGATCCTTTCGGTGATTCTTTCGCAAACATGAAGGTACGACTGGTATATGCAAATATCTTAAGAGGATGAGATTGCCACTCTAAAAACAAGCGTGTACTTCTTCAACATTTTGTGTGTGTAATTCTGTAGTAACGTTTTACACACTTTTTTACCGAATTTTTTTAGAATTATTTTTTATTATTTGGATTTTATAAAGTTTTTATAATTATTAAAGGACCATTTATTTTCGTACATTTTTAAATATATGTAATTGTTTTAATGCTATTGTGAACAATTCTCATATGTTATTGTATATATAAAAAGAAGCTTATATAATGTATTTAGAATAAATTCATGAATGAGTTTGAGTAAATTAAATTAAATTATACATTATATATATATAATTTTTTTATTGCAAGTATAAAACATTGCATTTGAAACGCATTTACCGAATTACACATGTACTGTGTGTTGAAATACTTTCTTACACGCTTGTTTGTAGAGTGTGATTTTTTGGAATTTGTTCGACGTTCCAATTGAATTTAACGCAGCTTCAGGACACAGTTCGGCCGATTTTACCACCGCCACCCTCGTCGACGAAAAGGGGACATTTGGAGAGGCAACATACCGTCCCAGTGCCACCTGTATCGACTAGTTCTAGTCCGGCGACAACGATGGTTAGTAAAACGCCGCCTCCGCAGAGTTCGGTTCACTGGTTCGACAAGGAGGCCGAGAATCTCTTCAACGATAACGAGCTGGTAAACTTGAATAAGAATGCAGCGGCGAAGAAAGATCAGGAGGACGTAAGTGTCGAATTATGTCTGTGTTTCGTTCTACATTTTTCTCAAAAATCGCACACAATCTGATCTCTCGCGTATATATTACAGAGCTCGACAGAAACTACACCTCGCAACACCCAGACGAAGAGTCCGCAGATCGACGTTTTCACGGAGCTGGATCCGCTGGGGACAGGTCTGATCAAGCCTTACGTGGACAAGAAGGACTTCTTTCAACACCTGAAAAACCCGCCGAAGAAAGTTCTCAAAGATCTAGTGTCTACGAATTCGAGCGACAGCTTCCCGACGAACTTCAACGTCACTACCGAGTCTCTGGAGTCCACAAAGTCGCAAAATGAAATGTCGTCGAGGGACAGCGAGGACAGCAATTTCGCCAACTTCGATCGATTCGACGAGAACGAGGCTAATCAGTCGGCCTCCCAGCAGAGAATCGATTCGCCGCCGAAGAAGGATGCGGCTGCGAAATCGATCCATCATCAGCCTCTCTCGGTATCTCTGCCGCCGGAGGAGGTGACAACGACGACGACGACGACGACGTCTAAAGGATCTACGACTGCTTCGGGAGGAAGCTCGGTTCTCCGCAGCATGGACCGAGACTCCACGGAGTCGACGCAGGCTCTGGTAAAGTTACCGAGTCCCAAGAAGTATTTGCAGTCCGTGCGAAAGAGGGATTTCGACATCGACCTGCCGGCCGGGAAGACTCAGTCCGTGGAGTCTAACAAATTTCCGGTGGACTTCTCGGTGCCGAACGAGTCGCCGGCGTCGCCGCTTCGTTCCTGCTCGTCGGACGCGAATTCTCGTCTGTCTAGTTCCAGCGCGGAGCTGGATCTGGTGCCAGAACCGCCGCCCAGAGGCGCAGGAAGCATCCTGATCAATCCACCGCCTTTACCGCCGAAGAAACAAAGCATCCGTGGAGGTACGAGGCCGCCTCCTAGACCGCCGCACACAGATGGACACTTTCAATACGATTTTCCGCAGCGCGAGGCCTCGCCGTCACCCACCAGAATCATCCGAGACAAGAACAAGAGTCCCCGAGGGACACGAAAGGCCATCAGTTTGACGACAACTTCAGTCCGCCTCCGCAAATGTCGGCCAGTTCGGATTTTACATCCACGACGACCACCGCTTCCGCTTTCGAGGACTCTTTCAGCACGATGATGCCATCCACAACGTCGCTGATGTCCGCGTCATTCACCGGCAGTATTCCCGCTTCGGTTTTGGAGTCCAAGAAGACGAAACCGTCGCTCGACATCACGCTTAGCCAGTTGGCGTCGTCCCAGACGGATTCGGAAAAGCTGGCCTCCAGTTTAGGAATGACGGTTCAACAGCTGCAAAGTCTGACCCTGACGCAACTCAGTCAATGCCTGGCGAGTCTGTCGACGAAGGAGACCGTCGCCGACGACGCGGAGGAGCCTGCGGATCCGTCGGTGGCGAAGGAACAACCGACGGTTCCGCCAAAACCTGCGATCTCGTCCTTGTCTTCGCTGGCGTCGAAATCCCTCGAGACGCCCGGCCCGAATTCGGCTTCTTTCACAACTTCGGAATCCTTCAAGTCTAGTTACGAATCGGAGTCGAAGCAGGATTCTACGTACGATAAATACGCGGTTTTCAGAGAGCTGTTGGAAATGGAACAGATAGAGCTGAAGCAGGAGACGAGGGAGGAGATGGCCGAGTTGGAAGAGGCGTCCAACGAAAGCGGACAAATTAATGGAGAAGAGATCCAACCGGAAGTACGAACCAGCGACAGTACTTTGGATTCGATAGCTTCACTGGCGAGCTTGACTGTCAAATTATCGGCCAAAAGCGAGAACCTGTTGAAAGAGGAACTTATAGCAAAGATGGACAAGACGATTAATGCCCTCGCGAGTCTGACGGAGCAAAAACGAGCGCTAGAAGCCGAGGATAAAGACGTCGAGAAGGAGGGCGAGATAATGGCGGACGCGGATATCACCTCCGATTCGTCCACGGTTCAGCAGACGGAGATAGACGTCGAGGATGACGAGAAGACGCAAACCATTATGGAGGCGGAGGAGAAGGCGGATAATTCCGAAAAGGGAAGCGATGCCAATGGCACGTCGTCCGATAAAGTCGGCTCGGACATCCTGAATGACGAGACCAACGGCTCGTCGGTCGCCGACAGATCCTCGACGGAAGTCAAGTCCTCAGCATCGACGTCGAGCGACCGATACGCCGCGCTGCGCGAGATTATCGGCGAACCGGAACCGTCGCCGATTCGAAAGGACGACGAGGAAATGATGAGCCCGGCCAGGACCTCCCCGGTGATCCAGCCGAAGAGTCTAGCCGAGATCGAGCTGCTGAATCTGTTCTCGGATAATCTCCCGCCACCATCCAGCCCGAATATCTCGGCCAAGAAGGAGTCGATCGATCTGAAGGCTGTGGCGATGGATATCTTCGAGGAGATCAAGATGCTGAACACCGACATGCATCGCGTGAAGGATACCAAGCCGGCGCCGGCTTCGTCTTCAGGCTTCGAGGACATGTTCTGCCCGTTCTCGGAGACGTCGCGGTCGGACAAGGACGACAGCAAGGAGGACAGCAACTGGGCCAAGTTCGACACGGGCATCTTCGGCTCCTCCGACAGATCGTCCTGCGAGGGGCAACGATCGATAGGCGGCACGTCACCTTGGTCCCCGGACGGCAAGGACTTCCACAGGGACGTCCCGTTCAAGGGTAGCGGCGGGTATCGGCATTCTGGTGACAGCGACAACGAGTGGAAGGACGAGGAGGAGAGCGAGGAGAGCAACGGTAGAGGACGAGGAGACGGTAGGTTCTGGTCCGGCTCGCGTCACCCGAGATACGACGCGCCGGGCTTCGAGGACAGATCGTTTTACGAGGACGGAGAGAAGCGGGATCGCAGCTTCCGCGACAGGATGGGTAGAAAATCGCGCGGCGCACCCTGGAGCAAAAGTAGCGGCGGGAGTCACCGGCCGCGCGATTCGTCACCCTGGCACGAAGAGAGTCAGTGGGAGGACGACGGTCCGAGACGGTATCCGCATCGGAAGATGCAGCCTTACAAGGACGACGAGGAGCAGTACGAGCACTGGAAATGTCGGTCGAAGCCGCCGCCTCCGCCGCAACGGTGCACCTGGAGCCACGGAGACGCTCATAGCTCGTACTACGACGACGAGCGCAAACGAAAACTGATGCTGTGGAACGAGGAGGATCGATTCGGCAGTCAGGAGAGTATGGGCTACGACGAAGAGGATCGATGGAGCAGGAGAAGGTACGAGAGGAGACGATGGGAGGAGGACAGTAGATTCTGGGGTAGAAGAGGACCTCCCGACGCCGACTATCCCATGAGAGAGGCGTATTATTACTATCGCGAGAGCAGAGAGAGACCTCACGATTACCCGTCCTGGGAGGAGGAGTACGGGTCCGAACGGCCGAGCGACGACTCGCCCAGGTACAATCCAGCTGGTAGCAGAAAGAGACACTGGCCGAAGAGGCCCAACAGCGCGAACGACGGCCGTAACAGTGACATGTTGTACCCGGACTCGCGGAAATTCGGCGGCGCCTCCAGATCCGAGTGCAGCGACAACGATTCCGATCCGTATCTGCGGCCCTCGCAGCGCTCCAGGAGTCGCGAGAGCTACTGGGGCAGCGATCAGGAGTACGACAGCTGGGTGGAGCGACCTTACTGGTCCGAGGGTCCGGACTCGAAGAGCGAGACGATGCATCGGAAGCGGATAGCCAGGCACAAGACGCGACAGACCCAGAAGACGCAGAGCCCGTTCGAGGACGACTTCGCGCAGAGCGTCGAGCACGCGGAACCATCTTCCGGAACCGGATGTCCAGGTGTCCCGGAATCCCTGGCACCGATTGACGCGCGAATACGACTGGAGATGGGTGAACCAAAGCGAGAACCGCCGCCACCCGTGAGTCCCTCGTCTGGCATCAGAGGGTCCAAGGAACACCCGAGACGGGAGTACGGGAAGAGATCCAGCTACTTCGAGGACGATCTCACGCCCACGGCGAGCGCGTCCAGCGACGCCTCCGACCGTCCGAGGCTGTCGTCCGAGTTCAAGGCCACGCCGGAGGAGCTGCCCTGCGACGCCGCGAAGGATCCGCAGCAGCAGCCGGTCGACGGCTTCGTCTCGGAGGACAGCGGACGCGACTCCTTCTTCAACGGCGATCTGAGATTCGACGACGACGCCTTCGCCTTCAAGTCCGAGCTCGACGACAACGTGCCGGATCATCGCGCGACGACGTTGCCGCTGAAGAATTCCAGGCAGGGCAAGTACGGGCCCGGGAACAACAACAATAACAATAAGGCCGCCAGGGGCGATCAGTACATACGGAAATCGGAGTCGGTGAATATCTTCGCGAGGGAGAGCGATCCGTTCGACGGCGACGACTTCTTCAACTGATTCGTCGAAACGTGACGACGCTCGCTAAAATCCCGCACTGAATTCGGGGACATCGGTGTGGACTAGATAATTGAAACTTGAACGTATGCGTGTACACGTGTGTGAAAGAGAGAGAGAGAGAGAGAGAGGAGAGAGAGACTGGGACGGTTGTTGTGTCGCGTATCTGGGAAGAAAAGGTGGAAAATGGTGGATCGCTATAGCAATACTTGGTTCTTGTCAGAACTCAGCTGTAGCAATTTTAACATAGCTTTGAACGCGACTGGAACGAATATGTGGAAGTATATCTTTTTTTGTTACGTTTGTTTTGTTACTGTGAAATTCGTTCGATTTATTATTATCTCGTTCGCCGAGACGGAGAGATCAGAGTTTATTAATGATTGCAATATTTTTCTTGTATATTTTATCTTCGATTAATTTTGCATATCTAAATGTCCGCATTTCTTGGCAGATATCGATTTATTCGATCATTTAAAAATGCTAAAACACTCGAAAATCAATTGATGATTAATCTTACGTTCAAAAATTGTAATAACGAAATTACGCAACACAACCATTCCACAAAGAAACTAGTCACTATTCTAACGAATCTGTATATAATACTATTGATGTGTTTAGGATTTGCTGAGACGATGTGAGAAGAGAGAGAGAGAGAAAGAGATATATCAGGATGTGATTTAATACAACCGTGTATCGCGTAATCGCATAAATCAATAATTGTTAATATCGTGCGTATTATGTGAATTTATTTATATTTATTAGCTCATTTATATTTATTGCGAAAAAAACGACGCGGTGATTTTTCCGTCGTTTCGGATTTGCAAGTGAGCAATTTTGATTTCAATTGCCTTTTCGAATGAACGATTTTTATCTAGTCACGTGTGCGTAACCGCGTTGCGTTTTGGGAAAGAGAAGAAATAAAACGATAGCGCGCGCGTTTTTTGGGGAGAAATCAAAACATGATTTTTATACATTTTTAACTAGCACGGATCGATTACGTTACATTATAGATGTTCGTACATCATCGACGACGACACGTATCCTTCTGTGCGAGCTCCCCCCGATTCGCTTTTCGGTTACGCTGCCGAAAATTACCCTCGTTGAGAGACGTAAGGACAATAGAATTATGTGTTAAAGACAATTATTATTAATTGCCTTGTGTTCGTCATGCTTTTAGCGTCTGATATATGTCTAAACAATTTTATGCACATATAAGATCGGATTGGCAAAAAGAAACATTATTATTTTGTTGTAAATGGAAGCTGTAAATATAATTTAATATAACTTGCTGAAACAATAATATAATTTTGATTTCCATTCTTTTATAAGATAATCAAATTTAGTTTTAATACAATATTTCTACAGAGGAGTAAAAAATTTATAAATTCTGTATCAATAGTGATTATTCGATACATATAGTATTTTATTTTCTATATTTATTTTTAATATATTTAATATATTTTTAGTATATCTATTTTTTTATTTCAAAAATTACTTTTTATGGTTTAATTCTATTTTCACATAATACTTCTAAAAAATTACAATAAATATAAAATAAAAATATTAAACCGCAACACAATTTTTTATTTCTAGATGAGGTATAAATAATGTAAATCTATATTTGTCCTAATTAATCCGATCTTATGTGCAAGATTTATCGCTAATAAATAATTATCTGCTAATCTTTGCTTGTATGATTTATATTGACGAATGTTTTACACTAATCACCAAAATATACAGCGATCACGCCGACATTTTACATTGTATGTATTTATGTAATAATAGTAGTAAATTATTTATCACCGTTTAATGATTACTCGGACACTCTGTATTGCGAGTATGCGTCAGAATGATAACGACAATACCGCTTCAATGGCAATTCAATTCCTTGTCCCTCCCTCAAAAACTTATATTAGTCAAGACTCTTATGAGATATATATATATATATATATATATATATATATATATATATAATCGCAAATCTATCTCGCTGTTTTTACGACGCTGTCACACGACTTCTTAAGAGATCTGTACAGATTACTTTTACGAAAAACTGCGGAGGACGACGTTGGCGAAAAAAAAGTTTATCACCAAGTGTATAAAGTGAAACGTATACGTATCAGCGATACGTATCTTTTTAGCACTCAATAATAATTATAATGACAACAATAATGTAAAGATTAAAAATTTTTTTTAATTCAACGTACTTACATTTTGACAGCTTCTCTGTCGAGACTCGCACTCCGAAAACGATGCCCTCAAATGCACTTGTACGTATTTCGAGTCTGAAATCATATAATTAGTCTTGTCAAGTTATGATATAATAGAAAGATTGTTTTTTTTTTTTAATAAATTTCTTCTTATGACAAAGAGAAAAATTTACATATATAATTATTTTCGTAATGAGAGACAGAGAAAGAGTTGAAAAGGAGATATAATAAATTTTTTCGATACGTGAAATATTGCTACTTTGTGGAAATTCGCATTCAATTAGCGATGGATTTAATGAATGATAAAATGTTGTAAGTATATAATTGCGATTTTTAATCTTTAGTAATGAAATAGTTCTTTTTTTACAGTTTTGTTTACGGTTTTTAATTAAAATGACAATAAGAATTTTCAATAATATTGTATGATACTAATTAAATTTTATCGAGCTTTGACAAAAAAATGATTAATATAAGAATAAAATTTATTCAATTCATGAAACTAAATTTTATTGAGAAGAGAGAAATCTCTCGAATATGTTGTATTATTGGAACTAAAATGTTGCATTAAAACAACTGAAAAACATGTAAAAATAACACAGTGTGCATCTATTTTTAATTTTACATAATAAATATGTTCTGTTTTTTTATTTTTATAATATAAGTGGGGATGATAAAATCTAAAAATCAACATATTATATTTTAATTAATTTTTACATTAAAAATATGTTCATTTTACACAAAATATATTTTAAATTATTTCAAGTTTTGCATTTATTTTGTGTTGTAACATTAACACAGCATGTCTCCATTTAAGATATATATCCATATTGAGTGAAATTATAGCAAAAAAATTTCTGTGGACCATTTGAAACATATATCATTTAAATTTAACACACATTTTTCAACTGTATTGTTGGCAATATATTCTATTCTTTCGAAAGAGCTGCTCGTGTTTAACCAAAGCAAAACGACAAATAATAGAGGCGCCAGTCGTCACGAGGTGACGTCGACATCGACATTCTCAGATCGCGCAATCAAAGTCGTGTGTGTGTGTGTGCTCCCCATTTCTTGATTCGGGCGCGCACAATGCACGATAAAAGAGCATTAGATCGCCGGCTTTGTCGAAAGAGAGAGCGGCTGCACGACTTCTCTCGCAACAATGGCGCGGCCTCCACTCGGCCGCGATGCTCGAAACACCTGGCAAACAAGGAAACAATGCGCCGTACGAGCCGCACTTGGACGGGATTTCGCGCATTTGGGGGTGCGCGCACGCTAACAAATTATCACCCCCTTTCCCCTTCGAACCCTTGGCCTCACATCCCGCCGTCACTCTCGACTATCTTTTTCCCGCTCTTTCGCTCGATGCACCATAGTGTGAATTTTGAAATTACGAGATTTTAGCGTGAACATTTTTCGAGCACTTTTCTATAAGAATGTTTTTTTTCGCGACAAGTGCGGGATAAATTTTATCAAACATAAATATGTACATTAAAATATGCAACTTTTCTCTTTCAAGTTTATAAAACGCGTCAATCTTCAAAAATATATCTTTAAAGATAAATGTATTTAAAAATCTATCTCAGACTCGAAAATATTACAATGTCCCTGGAATAAAAAGTATTTTTATCCGTAAATGTGGACTCAGCACCTCCCCAGAATCACTAAAGGTGACGCAGGAGGGAAGGAAACTCCGTATAGGAGAGCACGGGGATGAAGAAGAGAAAATCAACCCGCATGTGCTCGTACGCACTCGAGAACGAAAAGTACTTTCGGCGAGAGTCGGGGGCGCGGAACTATAAAATGCAGCGAAGAGCGGCGTGTGCCCTCCTCGGACAAATGCAACTCTGAAAAGCCACGAGAAATGTTTGTAATTGGGATCGTTGGCCCGTCGTGCTCTCTCGGCGCTTAAAATAGAGGGAGAAAGAAAAAAGAGCGCGCGCCCCTCCGTTTTGCTCGAAGTACATCCGCGAACGTTTTTATGATACGCGTTTTATTTTCTTACAATACGATAAGTTGCGCGGAATTTAATTCAATGTGAAAAATCTTGCAAAATAACAAATCTTTTTCTTGTCGTACAATCAATAAAAGAGCGCTAAAACTCTATTGCAAAGATTTGCGCGTTCGGTAATAATATTTTTAATTTTTTTCATATTTTTAATAATATTTAAAAATTTTTGTTAAATCATCTATAGCGTATGTATTTGAAAAAATTTCTATTTATTTATATTGTTAGATCCTTTTTGTATTATCTTTGTATATTACTTATAAATTACTTGAAAAGGGCCAAAACCGATGGCCGAAACGCGGTAAAATAAAATAAAAAATTAATTCAAGCCAGAGTTGGTCGTTGAATAGTTTGTTTGATTATTTAACTGTCTGGCGATCCAAAAGAAGTTTATCATTAATAATAATATTTTTATATACAAATTTTTGTGATATTATATTTTGATATATTTAGATTGCGATATAATTTCTTTTTCGGATCGACGGTAATAAAGTGTCCCCTTATATTTTGCTTATTTATTTAACTGTCTGGCGATCCAAAAGAAGTTTATCATTAATAATAATATTTTTATATACAAATTTTTGTGATATTATATTTTGATAAATTTAGATTGCGATATAATTTCTTCCTCGGATCGACGGTAATAAAGTGTCCCCTTATATTTTGTTTATTTATTTAACTGTCTGGCGATCCAAAAGAAGTTTATCATTAATAATAATATTTTTATATACAAATTTTTGTGATATTATATTTTGATAAATTTAGATTGCGATATAATTTCTTCCTCGGATCGACGGTATTAATAAAGTGTCCCCTTACGGAAGAGCGAACACCGATAATTCAGCCGACAAGCATTTTCCACTTAATGACGACGACTTCGTTAGCATCGGGCGCGCCGACGTGTGTATCATCAATATTTCATAAGTCTCGGGTAAAAAGTGTCGAGTGTTTACCGCGTGTCCTAAGCGAATCGGCTCGATCTCGTTCGCCGGTTAGCCGTAAGTGTGTTCCCCGCCGGGGTGCATTTGCATTGAATTGAATTTCAGATTCGGTCGCGCGGCTTCGCCGCAATCGGGCCCTCCCTCCGTGTCTTTCTTCAATCTGCGCGAAATCAAATGAGACAATATACAGGGTGAACCACGCAATTTAACCACCCCTATCATTTACCCCGTCGTCGTTGCTAGCGCTCTAGTGATCCATTTGTCTTGAATAATTCGATTTCGAACTGATCTACACGACGGTTCTCGGATAAACCCTTCGTCGCTCTCTTGTCAAAAATTTCACAGATTTTTTTGTTAAATCAATATTATTCCGTTAATTCTCTATATTCTCACTAATGCATAATTCATTCGAAAATTCCTATTACAATGTTTCAATTAGTCATTGGTAGCACTCTACAGTGATCCAATCGTCTTGAATAATTTGATTTCAAACTGATCTACACGATGGTTCTCGGATAAACCTTTCGTCGCTCTTTTGGAAAATGTCCGAGATTTCTTTGTTAAATAAATATTATTCCGTAGTCTCTCTATATTCTCGATGCAGAATTAATTCTAAAATTCCTGTTATAATGTTTCAAGTCGAAAGTAAATTTTCGTCCTCAAATTAATTGGAAGAAAAACTTGCCTTTGCTTAATTTTTCTTTGACTTTTATTTAGTTTGATTTCTGATTTTCCAAGGAGTAAAATTTTCTATTAAAATAATTCAACATCTGTTATTGAAATAAAAAATTCACAATATGTCATATACGAAGAACTCGATTCGCGACAAGACGAATCTCTCAGTTTACCGTCTCTGGACCGCACAGATAAATGACAGTTCTTTCTCGACTCGATGCAGCAGGACGGGATGAAAAGGGAGGACATCTCCGGAGACCGATAGAAGTAACGAAGAAGACGGAGCGAAAACAGGGTGGAAACCGGGAGGGTGAAAATGGAGGGGAGAAGACGCGGTTCTCTCTCGAGTAGGAGAAGGAGTAGGGTTTTTCTCGACGCAAAGCGAGAAAACGACGTCTTGAAAAAAGGTGCAAAGCCGACAGTATTCTTTGTAGCGGGGATATATTCGCCTTGCGCCACCAAGACCTCTCTTCGCACTTCTTTACCCTTTCCAAGCTCACCGCTCTTCCGTCTTTTTCGCACTTTTGCGGCCGCCTCCTTCCTTCACCCTCTCACGAACATCGCCACTTCGTATAAAGTCACAACTACTGTTACCACCGCCACCACATCGTTATACGAGTAGCGACGACGCTTACTTCTCCGCCCAAGCCGGATCCCTCGCTCGACTGGAGGTTCTCTTTCGGCGCGGGATATTTACCAACATCCAAGATGGCGGCATAATCTTGCCTGGCTTTTCGCGGAGAGGACCGACGACGAAGCTGGGTTCCTTTGCGCCAGTAAACACTCGCCCTTTCTCCCGTTTCGCTCTTTTCGCGGGTCTTACCCGGCTCCATCTCCTCTCGACTTCTTCTTCTTCTTCTTCTTCTTCTTCTTCAGCTTTTTCTTCCTCTTTGAACCTTTTGTGAGCTTTATACCGCGCGTACTCGAGTCACCGCAAAGCGACTCGCACCGCCTTCTATTTTTCGACCACGACGTCGAGATTGAGGATTTTAGGTCGCATAATGCTATGTAGATGACGAAACGCGTCGACGATTTCTTAATCCGATGGATGTTCCTTTTCTTATACGCGAGGAGAATATTTCTAAGATTTTATGTATTTGATAAAGGAGATTTTAGAATTATTTTATTTTACAGGGAAGAAGAGAACAAAGTTTTGGTATGGGAATATAAATTTCTCCTTCTTCTCTTTGTACAAAACTTTAGCTTTCATTTTTTTACTAGGATGTCGAAATTGAGGATTTTAGGTTGCATAATGATATGTAGATGAAACGCGTCGACGATTTCTTAATCCGATGGATGTTCCTTTTCTTATACGCGAGGAGAATATTTCTAAGATTTTATGTATTTGATAAAGGAGATTTTAGAATTATTTTATTTTACAGGGAAGAAGAGAGCAAAGTTTTGCTATGGGAATATAAATTTCTCCTTCTTCTCTTTGTACAAAACTTTAGCTTTCATTTTTTTACTAGAATGTCGAAATTGAGGATTTTAGGTTTTAGGTTGCATAATGATATGTAGATGAAAAGATTTTATATATTTGATAAAGGATATTTTAGAATTATTTTAGTTCAGGAAAGACGAGAGCAGTTTCGCTACACTGAAAAAAATTTGACTAAACCTTTCAACAAAATAATAATTTAGTTGAAAGATTTAGTCAAGTTAACAAATTCCTTATTCAATGTACGGGAATATAAATTTCTCCATTTTCTCTTTGGCAAAAAATACGTATCTTCGAGTTTAAATCCACATATTCGGATACCCTTGTAAGCGCAAAATAATATATATGCATTTCGCGTGGCACAATTATTCGATTGAAATATTGGGCAAATCGAATTAGATTCGAGTTTCGCGCAAACTCACTCCGTCTCGTTTGTAGCTACGTAGTCTCTCGCTAGTATAAAGTCGAACATCCCCGATCGCGCGGTTCGCCCTGGAATTTCCGGAAGATTTGGTCCGAGAAGACTGGGCGAGAGTCCCGAAGGGAGGTGGGGGAGGGAGAGAGAAATCAGGAGGTAAATACGAGAGTCCAGGGTAAGAGGCAATCGAATCGAATGGTGGAACTCTCGGAATCCGCAATCCGCCACGGAGTGAATGGTGAACCTCTAAGAGTTTCGTGAGGCTTCGGAGGGAGAGGGTGTCTTCCACCCTCTCTTTCTGTCCTCTCGGTCTTAGCCTAACCAGAACTCGAGATTAAGACGCGGTAATCGCTGAATCGGCAAGGCGGAGCCTTTCGACGCTTCTTTTGCCGCGATATTTTCTCCGCCGAGAGAAAAATTCCGAGAAGATCGCGCGAAAATATTTTTATTGAAAATATGAAAGTCGACGAATCTTTTTTTTTTTTTTTTGTGTATTGTACGCAAAATACGATTATTGTGTCTAAATTGTGGATATTAGAGCTCGTTATTGTAACCGATTGGTCGATTAATTGAAAATCGGTTAATTAATCGAATAAATAATTTTTCCGATCACTTACTATTTTGATTAGGATTGTTAAATAATAATTGTGTAGCAAGTACGTACAATTTTTACATAGAAAAGAAAGAAGTGTCGAATTAAAATTTATATTTAAATTAACGCGTTAATCGCTTCTTTAGATTCTAGAAGAAAAATCTCGAGAAACAAAATTAATATATTAGTCGATCGGAATAACTGATTAAATGATTAACCGAATTAATCAGTTTTCACGAATCTTATAATAAAGATCAATGAATAAAAATGACGCTCATAAAACACATTAACTTAGACTTCATCGAAGCATCCCTGGATCCGCGCGACTTTGATCAATCTAGAATAAAATTTCCATATCAAAGTGTGTCAAGTTATTTCTCAGATTATTGAAACTCTGCAGGGTTAAAGTGCAAATAGACAGATACGACATAGCGGCAAGACGTCGAACAATAATCATTAGGGCGGGTAGTGAGATTTCAGATATATATATATATATTGTATATATATATATAACGGCACACATACATATATACGGTTTGGCATTAACATTAACGCGAGAGCGATATTGAAATCCGAAGAGCGCTGCACAACAAAGAAGCGGAAGCATAGTCGAACGGGGAGGAAAACGACTGCAGTTGGCGAAGAGTTTCACCCTGCGCGCGCGCGCGTACGTGGAGTAAGTGCAATAATACCAGATTATTTGCACCGCAAAGCCATGCGTACGGGTAAACACAATATTCGCTCTCGGCTCGGCTCTGTGAACCGATAGTTCGCCCAGGTAGACTCGCATCCGCATCCTATATCGCGGTTCCGGTCTCTCCATCTCCCTCTCTTTGCTCTCCATCCCTTATCCTCTTCGGCTTTATCACTCCCTCTCACCTGTACACCAGGCGTCATAAATGCCGCATTTACCCTAGATGCACTTTTCGGAAAATATTTTCGTTTGGATGATTTTCGGCGAAATTATAATATTACTAAAAAATTGAAAATTAAGAAAAATTTGTTCAGATATGTTTAAATCTTGTGAGAAATTCATTGACGATATCAAATAATTACAGAGATATCAATTTTATGAGTCGTAATCATATCGAATTGCTTAAGATTCAATTAAGCAGAAAAAAGATTTAATTAGTGACTTCTCGTGAGAGTTTTATTTCTTTCTCCTAATTTAAGATGTGTAAATTATATAAAATTATGTAAATTATTAGATGTGTCGGCAAATCCAGAATTGGATATCAAAGTATTTATGAATCCTAGTGTACATCAACGTGTCTCTCTCCCTTTCTCCATCTCTATCTCTTATCCTCTCTTTCCTATCTCTCTCTCTCTCTCTCTCACTCATTCTATGTACCGCTCTGGCGTAATACAGATTCTATTTGAGCTGCCTCAGGGAAGTTAACTTGTGATGCGTGCAGCTCGTCTCGCTCTGTTGGCGATTCTACGGATCTAGTCGTTGGTTGATTGCAACACTTGCACGATGAAAATGCGACGCGATAATAGAACATGGTTATTTCCATAACCCTTGCGCTGTCTCTCGTGTCAAGTTACGTTCTTCGAAAATTGTAAACTAAGTAGAAAATCGCTGCGAATTAAAATCGTTAGAAAAAATACACAGCGCGCGAGATGCTGAGGAACAGTTGGAATTATATTTACGTGATTTTAGGATGAATTTTAGAGAGCCTTCCCTTGAAAGTTCAGAACACTTCCTATTTTGATAATAAACAATCTTAAATTTGGCTCAAACGTCTTTCTTCCGAATTGAATTATTTCAAATAAATGGCTCAATATTGTTTGTTTTAATTATATGTCTAATATAATTTTAAAAATATCTGTAGAATTAAAAAATAGTAAGATTTATTTTCATTATTCCTGAATAAAATACGACCACGTGTGTAAATATTTTATAAACTATGAGGATTAAGTTGGAAAATCAAGATAAAAATACTCTCACGATTTTTCGATATTAAATTAAATATTAATCACGGGACCAATTCCCTTGGTCCTGCAATTTTAATGTACCGTTCGAAAAAAAAAAAAACAGCCACGCAAAAAAATAGAAATTTACCCGCGGACGAGAAAGCAATCGCTCTCGATGAAGATCGCTGTTCGTAGATCGCGCTCCATCTTCATCGCGCCGCTCAAAGCAAATCAGCCTTCGGAGTGTTACAATTTTGCTCTCCCGCCCTCTCCAAACCCCACTTTGAAAGTCCCTTTAACTATCCCGCTATTTTCCTAACTTCCGTCCTAACCCCCTCCGGGGCTCTCTCTCTCTCTCTCTCTTTCTCCCCGTCACCGTCGCCACGTTGCTCCTCCACCCTTGCAACCCTCGCAGGGTGGAAACACGTCGGTCTGAGCAGCGAAGTGGGGTGACTTCCGTCTGACGGGGTAGGGGTCGAAACGCCCGCCCATTGGTCCGCCCACGTAGGACCAAAACGGCCGCTTCGAATCAATTCGAGCCTCGATTTCACCCCGTAGACGATCCTACGCTCGCGATCGTGCGCCCTTCGTCGTCCGCGAGCTCGCGACGTCCGGATTCCGGCCCGATTCGAACCCGAAAAAAAGCGCGTCCAGAGGAGCTTAAAATGCTTCCGATTTCGCGCGTGAGTCCTTGACGTAATCGAGTTCTTCGATCAAGAAATTCAATCGAGATCATCAGGTTTTCGGATGAAAAGAAAAGATCGATCGATCGATCGATCTTCGTGACTGCGAGATTATTTGCGAGAGTGAGCTGGTGAAAAGATCGAAGGTGGACGACGCTATGGAACGTGTCCTCGTAGATGACGGATCGCGCGAGACCTCCACGACGATGCCTCGACGGACTCCCGACTTGTGCGCCGTCACAGTTTGAGGCTGCGAATCGGCTAGAAGTGAAACAAAGAAGCTGGGCGAGGCGAGAAAAAGTCCCGTTATCGTTGTGGAAACACACTATTAGCGTAAGATAGCGACTCGTCAGAATAGAGTGACAGATAGAATGCGACAGTCGCTCCGCTGAAATATATCGCGACACAAGTTCGCTCGCGAGTTTTCCCGACGACAGATCCGTAAAAATTGCAACAACTTATATTTGTATCATACAGCAATATCGCAGTTGCAACGTGGTACAAGTTTTCTTATTTAAGCAACGGAGAAGCTACAAGTTTTATATATTCGATGATTGACATTTTTGCAAAAATCCTAGTAAGGAATTTTGTGAATAATAACGTGTTGAACTTTTGTTGCATTTCGAGTCTGAGAGATTACGTTATACCAAGATTCGCTATATAATTTACAGCAATTATTGCACTATGATTCTTGTTGCAAGAGAATGTGAAATATTTCATAGCGGACCCGAGACTTGGTATAATTAATCTGAAATTTAGGATATGGCTTTCCTTAACAAAAAGACTGTTAACATTTAAAAATTGTCAAAGATTTCATACACGACGAAAATATAAAATACCTTCGAATGAGGATGAATGATTTAGTTTTACGGTGAAGAAAGAGCTAAAATTTGTTATCAAGGAGATAAAAAAAAACCATTCTTTCGATAAAAAAACAACACAACGATCTTAAGTCAGCGTTCGGATTTTCAAGAAAGGATGCTAGCGAGAGGCGGTTTCCGGCAATCGGTCGCGGGATCGGGGGCGAAATAAAAACACCCCGGGGTCACGTCCTAACGCTAATGAGGCGGCGATCACGATGGAGCCACGTGCGATGATGATGTCGAACCTGTCGTGCGACGGCTGCGCGGACAGCGACCGGGACTCGGACAGCAGCAGCATGATCGTGGACCCGGTGAGCCTCGACAAGAACGACCTGTCGCCGCCGTCGCAGACGTCATCGAGCCCGGTGATCCCGAGCTGTTCGCCGATCCCGATGCCGACGTCGGCGCCGGCCGGCAGGAGTCGAGGCGGTAGCAACAGCGGAGGAGGAGGAGGAGGAGGACGTTCCAAGAAGACCTACTCGATGATGTCGTCGTCGGGTCAGTCAAACAAATCCAGCAGCTCGGGTCAACCCTCGTCCGGCTACGGCTCCGATAAGATGTCCTCGTCCTTGATAAAGCCGCCGTATTCCTACATCGCTTTGATCACGATGGCGATCCTGCAGTCGCCGCAGAAGAAGCTGACGCTGAGCGGCATCTGCGAGTTCATCATGTCCCGCTTCCCTTATTATCACGACAAGTTTCCCGCCTGGCAGAACTCCATCAGGCACAACCTGTCGCTGAACGATTGCTTCATCAAGATCCCACGGGAGCCGGGAAACCCGGGTAAGGGCAACTACTGGACCCTGGATCCGCTCGCGGAGGATATGTTCGACAACGGTAGCTTTCTGAGACGCAGGAAGCGATACAAGAGGCCGCCGCCGCACTACGTCCTACGGGATCGCGCGATAATGGCCACCTTCGCCATCTGCGGCGACCGGGGACCCTGTCCAGGTGGCGGCGGCGGTCATCCTGGTGCCCTGGCCTACCCCGGGGCCGCTTATCTGTCACCGCCGCCCGGTCTGCCTCTGCTGGACTTCTCCCCGTCTACTCTGGAGGCGTTGAAGTTAGGGGGTTTCCTGGAACCGCCGCCGCCGCTCTACAAACCCGTTCCCATCACGGCGCCCCCGATCAGACAGATCGATCCTACCCCCGCCAGGATCACGACGCTGCCGGCCAGCCACACGAGCAGCGTCGACAAGAGGCGCAACTTTAGCATCGACGCGCTCATCGGCAAGCAGGCCGCCAGCGAGCAGAATTGCGGCGCGTTGCTGGATCTCAGCCCGTCGGAGCATCGGGAGATCAGAAGCCAGGCGTCCGCCTTCTCGCCTCTAGTCTAGGAGTCCTTGTCTCTTCATCGCGAAAAAAACGACTTTCCTATCCAGGCTTATAGCGTAAAAGGCGCTTTAATCCTCTTGTGTCAAACACATTGATAATCATTGCTGAATCGTCGACAGTTAACGAGTCCTCGTGAGAAGAAATAAGTCACGAGAGAAAAATGGTATTCCCTTCTTCGGGGAGGAAGATTCATCGGACCAAGGTAGAGTGAACGCTGAACTTTATCGCGTTATTTATCGAATGGTGATACCGTATATTTCGAGATCACGTTGGTGAACTGTGCGTCGCTGATGAGAGACTTGGCTCTATCGGAATATATTTTGAGGAACGTAGCCTCGAGAATAACGAGAGAGAATTCAATGTAATGGACGACTTGTGCTCCGAAAGTATGATGGTAATCGATATCTCGGCAGATACTCTCTGATCGATGCTGTCCAGGTGAAACAAACATTTTAATCAAACTATTCACAAATATGAAAATTGCTTCTTGTTTTTCATTTATTAATATATATCCAAACAAAAGATACATATTATTAAATTAATAATACATTTTCCCAGTTATAAATTTTCCTTTTTTCTTTTTTTCATTTATATTAATATATTACATTATTATTTATTAATATAAATATATTATAATATTTAATAAAAGCATGTAATTATATTAATATAAATTTTGTATCATTTGGACAGGATTGATATATAATGAGAGACACTCGATATAACAGCATTTCGCATCTTGCGAAATCTCAATGTGATTCTCTGAAAACGAAATATTTGCTCTGCATGCGTTAACCGTATCACGGCAAAATGCTCAGTGATTGCAAGCGATAAGAAGGACGTACATGAAGTCGAAATTCAAGCGTTATCTGTGTTATCTGCAATCCTAATTTTTATTCCGCGAGAGAGAAGACGTGTGTCGTACTTGGCGTAATCAGATCAATCCTAGCATCAAATTCCAGATGGTCGTCCGAATAATCAAGACGCAGAATCGCAGAAATTACAAAGACGAATGAATCGATTTAACGAAGATATATATATATATATATCGGCGCATCTTTGTAAAAAGGCGTAGTGCAATAGCGTAGCATTTTTTTCTTTAACATCCCGCGTCGCTTCTCAAAAACGACCAGTGGAAGTAGATATACATCTAAAAAAAAAATTTTCTCAAACGAGACAAATATCTCTCGTTTTTCACATCATAATAATACAACTCTGCTTGAATTGCAAAACATGATTACAATATAATCATATTAATTCGCTGATGCAAAACGATACGTAAATTCATTGCCTACGCAATTTGCTACAAATCAAAAGCCCGCAAACGGAGAAGTTGAACAATAACGTATACTTCCACTCGTCGAGTGAACGAGCTTTTGCCCGAACAAAGTTCGTTGTGCGAATATAAATTGCCCGCGTACCCTCCGATTCCACTTTCGTTGCCTAGAACTGGTCCGGTTAGGCGAACTTAGGCCGCTTTTATATGGTCGATTAATATCGGCATTGTAAATACGAGTCCCGAACAAATATATGCGCAGCACTCCGGAGGGGGAGAGACGCCTTTCTTCGGTGGTGGATTTAACGTAAAGCCGCCCCCGCCCAACCCCTTTAGCCGTAAGCGGTCAAGTAGACGTTTGGTGTACATACAGCGAATCTCCATAGCGCGATCCGTATGTAATTGTGAATATCTACGTATACCGACGTTTTTACGGTTAAGAAAAACGTCGTTTTCTCGTCTCTCGCGCGATTAAGAAACAGTACCGCTTCACCAAGATTTTTCATCACTTTCAACCCTTAATCATATCCGAATTTTTAAGACTAAAAAAAGCGAGATAAAAACATTATACTTTTAAATTTTGACATTTTTAGAAACCGGAATTCTGCATTCTGGAAAATATGTAACTTACTGTGAAAGAATTCCTATACGAGCTAAAGTGCGCGTTTATTTAACAAATATTGAAACTGCAAGGCGTAATATTAAATTATGCGATATCCGAATTTTTAGGAAACTTAAAAAAAAGCGAGATAAAAAATATTGTACTTTTAAATTTTGACATTTTTAGAAACCGGAATTGTGCATTTTGAAAAATATGTAACTTACTAAAAGAATTCCTGTGAATTAAGGTGCGCGTTTATTTTAAAAGTATTAAAACTTCAAGGCGTAATTAAATTTTGCGACATCCGAATTTTTAAGACTTAAAAAAAAGAAAGCGAGATAAAAAATATTATACTTTTAAATCTTGAAATTTTAAAAAATCGGAATTGTGCGTTTTGGAAAATATGTATTTAACTTACTGTGAAAGAATTCCTATGAATTAAAGTGCGCATTTATTTAAAAAATATTGAAACTGCAAGGCATAATTAAATTTTTGAAACTTAAAAAAAAGAAAGCGAGACAACAATATTATGTTGAAACTATTAGAAACGGAAATTGTGCAAAATATGTAACTTTTTGGAAAAATTCCAATGAATTAAAGTGCGCGTTTATTTTTAAAAAATTGAAACGGCAAGGCATAATTAAGTGTTGCGACGAATTAATAGAAATGTGGGAGAAACTTAATGAATACTTTAATTTGATTAAAGAGTCGCACATTCGCGTTCCATAACTGTGTAAGATCGATCGATGTACGCTAACCGGATATTTATACTGCATATGAAATGACATTATTTGACATTCGATTAAAACTATTAAAAGTACATGACGCGAGCGCAACACTTTTGAAAATTAAAAAAAAACTAATGACCTATATAATTTATGTTTGATAACGAAATTGAAAAAACCCACCCGAATATATTCAGATTAATTTAAAACGTCAAAATAAGCAGGCCCCGCTATCTCTACATTGCGACGACCAGTGTGCACACAAAAAATATGAAAATCTCGTAACGAGGGAGCATTTAGCGAATTTTTCCACGGTAATATATTTTACTAATGTATCATATATATTTTTTCAACTCGTTACGAGACATCGCGATACTTCACTTTGTTCCTCCGCTAAGATTTAAGACAAGCGAAGTCAAGATATATGTTTAGTTATAGGCTACACACATCCTATCGTTATAAAGAAATCGTCTGTAGATCTTAGTAAGTATTGTATGTGTCAAAGTGATAGATTTATAACAATATGTATAATGATATAAAAAAAAAACACACAATAAAGTATCGTTAAGTATATATATACGCGTGATATAATATCTTCCCTCCATCTACTCTCATTTTTATTTTCCTCCTCATCCGTCTTTCTTAATTCTCCATTATGTCAAATTCTAAATACGTCTGCGATGATAATATAATTGTAATTTCACTTACTTTTACTTATATAATCTCGGGAGATGGAAACAAAGATTGTATAAATATGCCGGGCAAATTTGTCGATCATCCGAGAGAAACGAGTAATTTTCTTCGTCACGCTTTGAGAGACCGGGAGGAGGAGGGATGTCGTGTGCGCGAGATAAAGCGATAACGGGGGAAAGATGTGAGAGAAGTCGACGGAAGAGGGCGTACAAAGCAATATCTTGTTTACCCGCTTCTCTCTCTATCTCGCTCTCTCGACGCTGACAATACGAGGCGGAAAAGAGAAGAGGATGGAGAGAGACGAGCCGCGGAGGAGAATGAGTGGATTTTCATTGCAGTTTAATCCCTGCCCCCCCCCCCCACCAGTCCCCCTCGACGACTAAACGGCGTATTCTAAACGGCGATACGAAGGCAACTCTTGTCGCTTGGGGTGACGATATTACATTCCTCGATCGTGACGAAGATAACGGCCGCTGCCACATCTCGCGACAATTCGAGCATCGCGGTTCCTCTAATCTCTCCGTTTCCCTTTGTCATCTTTCTCCTCGCGCTTCTTTCGCTCTTTCTCTTCATTTATTTATTTTTTTTCTTCGCGTATCTCCCGCGGAAAATTTATGACGCCCGAGACGCGCAGAAGCAACTATTATTGTTAGAGGGGGACAAGACTTGCCCTCTTGGAATTAGTAAAAAAATTAAGCATCCGCTCTCCTTGCGAATAAACACTGGAATTTATTTGTATATTTAATATATAAGAAAAATTAAATTAAACAAAATTTAATTATGCCCCCTCCTGGAAAAAACCTGCGGACGGCCATGATTGTCTCTTACGCATGATGCATTTACATATATATTAAATCGAGAATAATTAATACATATATATATATATATATATATATGGATAATTTTGTGGAAAATATCGCGGTGCGCGAGAGGACTTAATAGTTTTAGCTTAATTAATGATAACCGCGAGAATTATCTTTCGTATCTTTTTAATATGTATGATGTGCGATCGCGTTTTCAATACGGAAATAAAATCAAAGTCGCGATACCGCGGAGCTCTAGATTGATGTTACATTTGTTATATGATAAGACTATCACAAATATGTTATATATATATATATATGTGTGTGTGCTGTTGGATAAACTTCTCTGAAGGATCTCCAAGATTTTCTTCGTTTTGTCATTTTTTTCCACATAGTCAATTAACACGTGTTTTACGTTTTTTATATCCGTTGTATAACAAGCATAATATTTGATTCTTTAGATATAGAAAAGTAATCATGTGTATGCATATGTGTGCATCAAATTTATTATTAGAACAGTCTTGTGCAACGGAGAAATCCGTGTTGCAAGTTGCAAGATTCATTGTAAAATCGTTAGATTTACGAGTATTACATTAGATCGCAAAAGATTTACGATTGCGTGCGCGTATAAGATTTACGCGTGCACCGAATAATAATGATGCTACAGTTTACAAAAGCAACTATTATTGCATTATCTCAAACATAGTAAACATAGTGCGATGCGCGTGTGATAAGAGGGTCGAGCAGTCCAGGGTCGAGGAGAGAGAAAATTATAAAGATAGACACATATTAGATACTATGTAGATGCTTATTAGATATCGTGGATAAACACTTGCCAATAATTTAACATTGGAAAAGTTTAATGAAGCGCAATTTATCAAACAACCATCTTAAGTGCGACAATCATTTATAACAGTCAACGACGTTATCGCAGATTCGTTGTGTAATCCAAACGATTGTCAGGTAATGAGACAGAAATTATTTATTAATCTCATTTGCACTGTTAAGATCATCAACATCGTTAACATGAAAATAAAATTATGTTGTCTGTTTTTGTTTGCAAAAAATCTAATTAAATTAAATTATTTTGAATAATGTAGACAGAGATTTTTGAAAGGATAAGTTTTTTGAAAAAATATGCGCTAGATTAATTTCTACTATGAATTGATTAATCGAATATTGTACTCAAACCAATTTTTTGGTTGATTAATTATATACAGAGAGAATTTTCTTCTAGAATTTACCCTGAAAATCATGGTAAGAATTTTATAACGGTTTCTCTGATTTAATATCTGCCACAATAAAATATAAAATATGTTCGATTAATTTTACTACGTACATATTAATATTTTTTATTATGGTAAATATTAATCAGGAAAACTCATAATTTTGGGGGTGAGTTCTAACAGAAAATTCTCTCCGTAGTAATATACTTTTAAGTTC